TGGACATAGAAATTATAGAATATGTATCTTATGTGTTAGATGAGAGATTGAAAGGTGAAATATAATGATTAAAAATAATTAATATTTTTCATGATTCACAAAATTTAATAAATATTTATCATCTTGTTGAATAATTCTAAAAATCATATTCAAGAAATCTTTATAATTTGAAAATTAAACTTCTTTGGTAAACTATAAGTATGATTGTATGAAAATACCATAATTTCGATTTAATCTAATTAAATTAAAATTAGTTACATAGATTTCATATCTATTTAATTTACACGACCAAAATAAAAATATCTATTTATTTAATTTATAAAATAGATGGGTTAGTTGTGATAAATTTTTTAGAAATCTCTAGAAGCAAGTAAGATATCTTTTAATTAATGATAACTGGCTAAAATAAGCAAAATTAATGAGAAAAACGTTAATTATTATGAAATTAGTTCCAAAAGTATATGAACAAATATATTATACGTAATTAATATATAATATTGTTTGGAATATGATTTTTGTTGTTGGGTTTGACCAACACACACCAAATGGGCCTATTTGGGCCTGACGAAAATAACATTTACAAGAAGAGAAAGAAGAGCAAAAGTGGCCCATTATATATTCTTATATATCTCGGAAGAATATGTGAGAAGACGGTAGAGAGTTCTAGAAAACGTGAGAAAAGAGAGTTTTCTGAAAAAGTCTGTCTTTGTCTTCTTTGTTGTGTTTTTTGATCCAAAGTTCTTCTTGTGTGAGTGTACCTGAAAACCAAAAGAAAACATCACAAGTTTGTGGTGTGTGTAATCTCTTTCTAATAGTGAAGCTTGGGAGCAAGAGTTCTCCCCCGAGACGTAGCGGTTAGAGGCCGTGAACTCGGTGATCAAATCTCTTTGTGTTGTTTATTCCGCAAGCAATCGTTTCTAGCAAGTTTTTCTCCACAAGTGGTATCAGAGCTCCAGGCTGAGTGTACGGTTGCTGAACAGAAAAGATTCAAATCTAGGGTTTCAGGATGACTTACAAGACGAGTGATGCTCGGGTTGAAGTGGACCGGTTTGATGGATCAGGTGACTTCTCGTTGTGGAAAGTGAGGATGCTGGCTCACTTTGGTGTTCTAGGGCTGAAAAGTATCTTGAATGATGAGCAGCTGCTAAGAGACCCACCTACTACAGAAGAGGAAGCTGCAGCAGCTGGAAGAGACACTCAAGTGGGCATAGCTGGAGATTTTGAGCTGCCTCCAAACATTGATCCTGCAAAGTTTGAAAAATCAGAGAAGGCAAAAGATCTTATAGTACTAAACGTGGGAAATCAAGTACTAAGGAAGATCAAAAACTGTGAGACAGCAGCAGCCATGTGGTCCACACTAAACAGGTTATACATGGAGACTTCTCTACCTAATCGCATCTACTTACAGCTTAAGTTCTATACTTACAAGATGACTGATTCTAAGAGTATAGATGGGAATGTGGATGACTTCCTTAAGCTAGTTACTGATCTAAATAACATAGGAGTAGATGTGACAGAAGAGGTTCAAGCTATTCTATTGTTGAGTTCGTTATCTGACCGATATGATCAGCTCAAAGAGACGCTGAAGTATGGCAGAGACACATTGAGCTTGAATGAGGTCATTGGAGCTGCTAAATCAAAGGAAAGAGAACTCGCAGAAAGTGGAAAGCTTTCAAAATCTCAAAGTGAAGGCCTGTACGTGGAAACAAGAGGCAGATCAGAGAAGAGGTTTGACAAAGGAAAAGGCAAACCGTGGAGAGGACGTTCTAAGAGCAAAGGCAGATCAAAATCAAGGCCAAAGAATAATAAAAACAACAAGGGCTGTTTCATTTGTGGTAAAGAAGGACATTGGAAGAGGGAGTGTCCTGAAAAGTCCTCAAACAAACCTTCAAGTTCAGCAAACATTGCAACAGAGCCAAAGCAGCCTTTAGTACTAACTGTTAGCCCTCAAGACACTAAGGAAGAATGGGTTATGGATTCTGGTTGTAGTTTTCATATTACACCAGACAAGGATTCTCTATTTGACCTACAAGAGTTTGATGGTGACAAGGTCTTGATGGGTAATATGACTCACTGTGAAGTGAAAGGGATTGGTAAGGTTAAGATCTTAAATCCAGATGATTCTATGGTCATATTAACAAATGTGAGGTACGTACCTACAATGGGTAGGAACCTCATTTCATATGGTCAATTAGAGAAGAACGGCTGCAAATATGAAGGGGAAGACTTCATAGTCACTTTCTACAAAGATGGGCAGAAGGTTATCTCTGGAAAATATCAAGATGGGCTGTACTATCTACAAGGAAAGGTCGTAAAAGGAGAAGTTGCAGTGGCAAGACCGGATGTTGACATGACCAGCCTGTGGCATTCTAGGCTAGGTCATATGAGTTTGAAGAACATGAATGTGCTGGTTAAAGAGGGTTACTTGTCAGGAAAAGGAGTAGACAAGTTGGACTTTTGTGAGAGTTGCGTACTTGGAAAATCTCACAAGCAAAGTTTCCCAACTGCTAAGCACACCACCAAAGGTATATTAGATTATATACATTCTGATCTCTGGGGATCTCCTTCTACTCCAGAAAGTCTTGGTGGTTGCAAGTACTTTGTAAGCTTCATTGATGATTTTTCAAAGAAAGTATGGGTGTATTTTCTGAAGACTAAGGATGAGGTATTTTACAAATTCAGAGAATGGAAACAAGCAGTTGAGAATCAAACGGGCAGGAAGATTAAGTACTTACGGACTGATAATGGTCTTGAGTTTTGTAATACACAGTTTGACAACTTGTGTAAGGAAGCAGGAATAAAGAGGCACAGAACGTGTACCTATACACCACAGCAAAATGGTGTCTCGGAGAGGATGAACAGGACCATTATGGATAAGGTTAGAAGTATGCTTGCTGAGACAGGATTGGGTCAAGAATTTTGGGCTGAAGCTACTTCTACGGCTGTCTACTTAATCAACAGAACACCGAACTCGTCTATTGGTTTTAAGCTACCTGAGGAAGTCTGGACAGGTACAAAACCAGATTTAAGTCATCTAAGGAGGTTCGGATGTTCAGCTTATGTCCATGTTACTCAAGATAAGACAAGTCCAAGAGCAGTCAAAGGAGTTTTCATGGGATATCCTTTCGGTATTAAAGGATACAGAGTCTGGTTGCCTGAGGAAGGGAAATGCACTACAAGTAGAAATGTGGTGTTCAATGAGAGTGAGCTGTACAAGCACACGCTAAGTAGTGCAGATGGAAGGAAAGACGAAGCTGAAAAAGAGTACAGGAAATTGAAGAAAGCTGAAAAAAGAGTATCTTTCAGCAATGATCTTATTAGAGGTCCTTTTACCAGTTATTCTGATTCGGATGAGGCATCTTCTCAAGGTGGAGAAACTTCCACACCTTCATCAGAAATTTCAGAAAATTCAGAAAGTTCACAAGAATCAGAAACAGATGCGGAAGTTGATGGATCTGAAAATAAACAGTCCCTGGATGATTACTTGTTGGCGAGGGACAGGAAACGGAGAAGTCATATCAGGCCTCCATCAAGATTCGAAGACGCAGATTTCGTAGCTTATGCTTTGGCAACAGCAGAAGACTTGGAAATAGAAGAGCCTAAGTCTTACGAAGAAGCTATGAAAAGCAGTAAGAGAAAGCAATGGGAAAATGCAATGAAGGAAGAGATGAATTCTCATAGAAAGAGTCATACTTGGGATCTAATTGAAAAACCAGAAAAGCAGAAGCTGATTGGATGCAAATGGATCTTTAAATTGAAGCCAGGCATACCGGGAGTGGAGAAACAAAGATACAAGGCCAGACTTGTTGCTAAGGGTTTTTCGCAGCAAGAAGGAATTGATTACAATGAAGTGTTTTCTCCAGTGGTGAAGCATGTCTCTATCAGGTTAATGTTGTCACTTGTGGTTAACATGGATTATGAGCTAGAGCAAATGGACGTTAAAACAGCTTTTCTGCATGGTAATCTAGAGGAAATGATCCTAATGAGTCAACCTGAAGGATTCATACAAGAGGGAAACGAAAACAAAGTTTGTTTGTTGAGGAAGTCCCTATACGGCCTAAAACAGTCTCCTAGGCTTTGGAATCAGAGGTTTGATGGATTCATGCAGGATCAGAAGTTTGAAAGAAGCAGTTATGACCCATGTGTCTACATGAGAGACACTCAAACTGATAAAGCTATCTATTTGTTGCTCTACATTGATGATATTCTGATAGCTTCAGGGAGTATGGCCGTTATACAAGAGCTTAAAGACAAGCTGAATAGTGAGTTTGAAATGAAGGATTTGGGAAAGGCTTCAAGAATTCTGGGTATGGATATCATAAGAGATAGAGAGAAGGGTGAATTAATTCTGTCTCAGGGAAACTACTTGGAGAAAGTGTTAAAAACATTTGGAATGTTTGAAGCAAGGTCAGTGATCACACAAACAGCTTCTCACTTCAAACTCAGAAGTTTGTCAGAAGAGGAAAAGAAAACAGAAGCTGTACACATGGAAAGAATTCCATATGCAAGTGCTGTGGGGAGTTTAATGTACGCTATGGTTGGTTCAAGGCCAGATTTAGCATTTGCAGTGGGTTTGATCAGCAGGTTTATGTCAAATCCAGGAAGAGATCATTGGTCAGCAGTGAAATGGGTGTTAAGGTATTTAAAAGGTGCATACACTCAAAATTTGATCTTTAAGAAGGATTCTAAGTTCTGCATTGAAGGGTTTTCAGATTCAGATTATGCGACAGACTTAGATCGGAGAAGATCAGTGACGGGTATTGTGTTTAAGGTTGGTGGTAACACAATTTCATGGAAATCAAGTTTACAATCTGTTGTGGCTATTTCAACCACAGAAGCAGAGTATATGGCTCTTACTGAAGCAGTGAAAGAAGCCATTTGGTTGAAAGGTTTGTGTTCAGAATTGGGTTTTAAGCAAGACAGTGTTAAGGTTCATTGTGATTCACAGAGTGCTCTAGCCCTAGCAAAGAATTCAGTTCATCACGAAAGAACCAAGCACATAGACACTAAATTTCATTTCATCAGGGATATAGTGTCTAAGGGTGATGTTGTTCTACACAAAATCCACACAACAGTCAATCCAGCAGATTTCCTAACTAAGACGGTACCTGGCCAGAAGTTCCAGCTTTGCTGCGAGCTTCTCAACATCCACTGAGGTGGAGCTGCGGCTACAGGTAACTCCAACAGTCTCGCAAAACAGGTTGAAACAAGATGATTCAGTTTTGTGAGAAGTACTCAAGTGTCAGAATTGAGTAAAGCTTTAAATTGGAGTTGGTGTTACCTGTTAAGTACTGGAACGGTGTAGGAATCACTAGTTCCAGGTGGAGTATCTGACAGAACATTCACAGGAAGAAATTGGGTTAGAAAATCTCATGATGGTTTAGAGATTTGAGAAACCAGTCAAAAGATGGTGATTAAGGACAGCTAATTACCTAAAGGTTTCTGAATTTGGGTTGAAAGGTATATTTCAGGTTCAGGTGGAGTTCTCTAAGAAGCCAGTGATAATCATATGAGGTGATTCAACTATTAACAAAGAAGACAAGTTGGGTCTTGGTTAAATTTTGAATCACTAAAGAGTTGATTAAGGCAAGAGACATTGGGGTAAGATGCTCACCTGAGATTGTCGACAGTTGCAGTGAATGTTAAGGCTTGCCAAGGAGGATGTGAAGCTTGCCGGAAAATCTGAAACGAGTTCAAAATTGAAACTCGTAAGCTTCAAGTCTCTGGAAATCAAAGGAATCTACTCTCTGGTTGCTAAATTAGCACAAGAAAGAGAGAGGTTAGAAGTTACCTGGGCTGACCGGCATCGGCGTGGCAAAAATAGAGAACACCGAGAAGAGGCATGGATGAGAGATGGATCTAATGCCTCTTGATTCACCAAAAGAGAGAGCAATCGTGAAATTGGTGAAGAGTATGGTGAATTTCGCCTGAGTTAGCCATTGAAGCTGTCGGATCTGCAACTGATTTCACGAATGGAGGTGAAGATGAGAGGCGAAGAGGATGCTGTGATTCGCCAAATTTGATGGCCGGTGGTGAGGCGAGAGCTCGCCGGAGAAGGAGGAGCAATCGCCGGAGGAAACTGCCGGAGGATGCGTCGATCCGGTGGCATCCAGCTTCACGGAAGAGAGAAAGAGATGGTGTCGATATCGTCGAGGTTTGGGTGTGGTTGTCAAAAGGTGGAGATTGTTGTTGGGTTTGACCAACACACACCAAATGGGCCTATTTGGGCCTGACGAAAATAACATTTACAAGAAGAGAAAGAAGAGCAAAAGTGGCCCATTATATATTCTTATATATCTCGGAAGAATATGTGAGAAGACGGTAGAGAGTTCTAGAAAACGTGAGAAAAGAGAGTTTTCTGAAAAAGTCTGTCTTTGTCTTTTTTGTTGTGTTTTTTGATCCAAAGTTCTTCTTGTGTGAGTGTACCTGAAAACCAAAAGAAAACATCACAAGTTTGTGGTGTGTGTAATCTCTTTCTAATAGTGAAGCTTGGGAGCAAGAGTTCTCCCCCGAGACGTAGCGGTTAGAGGCCGTGAACTCGGTGATCAAATCTCTTTGTGTTGTTTATTCCGCAAGCAATCGTTTCTAGCAAGTTTTTCTCCACAATTTTATAATTAGTTATCATAAGTAAAATCAAATTTTATTTGATTTCCATAAACATTTGATTTTAGTTCGATTTTTCATTATTAATTCGAATTTATATTCCAAAAAAATTTCAAATATCCGATTTCAGAATTTCGGGTCAATTTTCTGATTTTGACCTGGCCCATTTACATTTGTAGTTCTATTTTAATAGTATAGAGATAAGAATAAGATACATATAGATTTTGAAGACTTTTCTTTGGTCTTTTTAGTAACAACGGAAACACAAAAATCGAATGTTTTTTATTTTCCGGTCTAAAGCAAATCCTCGAGCGAAGATGGAAACTGATAAGACCCGCCGCCGAATCTAAAATCGTATGTTTGACCGTAAATCGAACGGCTACGATTTTCTACATGGGAAAGAACGAAACAAAAGATCCACGTGACGTGGTTGTCTATCACATCTGAGTTTGATGGACTTATGGGCTCCACTCATGAGCGTGGGATTGATCTGAAATTCTGAAAGTAATCAGAGATTTTTCTTACTTTGATTCGATGCTCTGTCCAAATTTGACACTCCCAACCTTGGATGCGGTTTTAATCTCCTACGGTCATCGTTTTTTATTTTCTCGAGATCACTTTGGAACATGATTTCGATTGTATATTTTGTTTACCTCATTATAAATTTTTAACAAATTAAGGAATGATATGGTTTTGGTTTAATTTGATATCCAAGAATAATCCCAATTAGAGTCTTCTACAGTCAAACAAAGGCAATTCCTACGGAGAAAGTAGTTTCTAGTCTCTATCAACTTTTCAAACAACTCTTCTCAATTTAATTTGGTTAGCTTCTAAACTTTGGAACCTCATAAAAAAGAAGGTTAACCCTTAAATAATCTTTGAAGAATCTTGGTCTTCGGTTGAAGAAAGAATTGCGTACCAGTAATGATCACAAAATCACAAGTGTCCTAGCTTTGTTGCCGACACGTAACCACAATTTCACCCAACACCGACCCTCTTTTTCATGATGTTTACAAGGAGAATGATACGACTCTTCTTTGCTTTTAGATGCATCACCATTACAAAAATTGTCTTAATTATCATATATATATTATTGACACACGAAGAGAGAGATATGTGTAAGAGACTAATTTGGCGTTGCCCACCAACCTAACTTCCCTTCTACTTCATCAACAACTCGTGTCCACTTTCTCACACTAACTTTGGTTCAAGATTATAATTATAAACACGCCTCCCGCGTGAATAGACACAACGCAACCATCATAAAAACATCATAAGAAGAAGAACTCTTCTGGTTTCACTCCCGATTTGGAATGGAGAAGAAGGCCAATCATGGAGATGATGGGCATGAGAGTGTTCCTCCTATCCATAGCCAAGTCGTAAAGATCAAAAGGGAGTTTGAGAAGATACAACACCCGTCACTAAAGCAGCCTGAGATGCCGTTGGTGCTCCGTGAGATCATGGGTCCACGGCGTTCCCGTTCTCCCCTCGGTTTAGGAGAGCGAGAGAGATCCATCCCCGTTGGGAATTGATAACAAAAAGAGAGAGATAGAGATAGGTGATCCTCTGTGTATTGGGGTTTCTCTTTATCTTTCAATGTAAATATCTTTGGTTAATATGATGAGTCTTCTGTTTAATATCCTCAAACAACATATCTTTTGCCTCTCATTTTAATCACCCTTCTCTAGTTCATAGATTCATGTAATCTAATCCTTGAGGAGGGAAACCAGCTAGTTCATAGAGAAATATCGATCGCTATATGTTTTTCAGAATTATTAACCTTAAACAAGTCATCTTGGAAATTGACGTTTAAAAGAAGCCAAGCCTAGAGAACTTACAGGAGATGGTTCTTATGCAGCAGTTGGTGTCTCCTTAGACGATAGCAACTTAACCCTTCTGGTGAGGTCTTTCATGACATCTATGATCACTGATTTCTTCTGTATTCGGTACTTGATACTCAATTCTGCTGTGGCTGGAACACCTTTTTTGATTATAGCCTCATCTTCCATTATCTTTGTTGGAAAGTGGCTCAATGCAATCACACAAAGAGCGATTACAGTGCGGAAAACGGCAATCTCGTTTGCAATTCCAAGAGGGGCTATGGCCGATAAAGATTTCAGTGTGTCTAAGTCATGCTTCTCTACTTCCACCATTTCACCACAAAGCAGTATCCTTATCGCCGCCAATAGTCGTCCCTCTACTGGCTCTGGGCCTCCTATGGTTACCTATTAGTATAAGAAGAAAACAATTATAGAAATGGTTCAGTTTCCTCCTCTGATTCTTCTTCTCGGAAATAAAATACTACTTTAAATATCGTGACAGAGAAATGACGGTTTGAAACCTTCAGATTTGGCATTTCTCCAGCTAAATTTAACTGGGAAAGCAGCTGATGTTGCCATGGAGCCGGTGAAGAGAACTTTGGGGAAGAAACACCAGCCGCCATGCTTGCAGCATCCATGAGCTGTTCATCGTATTTAAGCTCAATGGTGTCGTATGGATTTGATTCAATCACAAATCCATAGTCCAAAAGAAAAAAATCATTGCTAAGGCAGCCATAGTTGAGTAGCAAAGGATCGTTTTCTTTGAGTTCAGTCTCTGCAACAACCTGATGCACAACAAAAGAGAAACATCATTTACATTCAGTTTAACAAAAGCCAGTTTGAAAACAGAGATCTAAAACGCAAACCTTAACTAGAGTATTTGACTCAGCTCCATTCTGTTCTTGAATGATCTTGACATTTGGTTTAAAGCTGTGATTGCACATATCTATCAGAGGAAGCATCATGGGAACATCATCAGAAGATCCACCTTGAAGCTTTTTATTACCATGTAAGCGAAACGCTCTAGTTGAAACAGCTGACATAGTCCACCCGAGGGCAGATGCATTTACATCTTGGCCACTGAAAGGATGATCACTAGCCTTAACATCTTCAAGAGTACGTCTAATCTCTTGCTCAAACTCAAGAAGAAACCGGCATCTTTTATTGACCTGGTCCCAAAAGAACACAACAAATCTGCATCATCTGAGGAAATGATAAAGAACGCGACTCATCTCGATTAGTCCAGCAGTCTATCTAACCTGGTAAAGAAGAGGAGCATATTGCAAGTTCTTGATATCTTCTCCGGGAAAGAATATAGGAACAGTAAAAGTTTCCGGGAGATTGCTAATGTATGGCCACCAGAAAGAATCTACATTGGCTCTTTCTTGCAACAATCTCAATCCCAATTTCATTGCCCACAGTTCTTCTGCCAAATTTCTCGAAATCAGTAACTCTAACAAAACCAACCAAATTCTACAGAATCCTATAAGCTAAGCTTTAGATTCATTTAGGAATGGATAAGTACTTACCGGGAACACGACGGGCCAATGCGGAGAGGAGAGAGGACGATGACGATGACGCATCATCTGATTCGAAACGTAAGGGAACGTGAGGAGGGAGAGAGATTAGGTCGGTACCTGGAGAGATTTGCTCGGTGGAAATGAGTCCGATACCAAATTGAGTCTCCTGAGAGAGCTTGATGGCGTGGTGAACGAAACCACCTTCTCGTTTGATCCACCGGATGAGGTCTGGTGGATGAGGCGCCAACCGCGACGGCTGAGACGCGGCCAAACATGTGAAGGGACGAATTTGAGCTGCCAGAGAAGCCATCGCCATTTTCAAATTGGCCATGAGTTCCGACGAAGCGACCCGGTTCGGTGTTGCTCGAGGATGAAGATCCGGACCCGGTTTAGTTTTTTATTCGGGTCGGGTTAGACGCCTGGGTCCATTGTTAAAGGGAAACTACTTTCAATATGGGCTTTTTAGTTTGTTTTTCGTCATCAATGGGCTTTTTACTAATTTTCTTTGTTCTTTTTTTAAAACAAATGTTACATTTGTTTTTTTCGCAACAAATGTTACATTTTGAGATTACCAAAAAAAAAACAAATGTTACATTTTGATGTTCAATTATCATAATTTTCAGGTGTAAAGGCAAACCCAAAAACTAGCATTTGAAACAAATGTAACATATATGAAAGAATTTAGCTTCTAATATAGAGTAAAAAATGAGATTTATGGTTATTATTTATTCACATCATTTTCACTGTATATGCAATCAAATTATTCAAGTCCAAAAGTAGAACTGAATACAAAAACAAAAACAAAAAAAGAGAGTTATAATTAAATTTAAAAAATTCACGTTAGTTTGAAGGGGATTACAAATCCCAAAGAACAAAAACAACAACAACAAAAAAAAGATTGAAACAATGGTGGAATAATAAACAATGACGACGAAAACGAAGAACACGAAGAATAAACAGAGAACTCAGTTTCAGCATTGTCCACGAAAGAAACTCTACCTCGGACCACCTCCCATGAAATTATCACGTCTAGATCCCATAGTCATCATAATCTTAAACTCTTCAAAATCAATCGTACCATCACCATCTTTATCAACACCACCAATCATCTTCCTACACTCGGCGATCGAACATTCATCACCAAGACTCCTCAAAACCTCATGCAACTCCTCAGCCGAAATCGAACCATTCCCATCGATATCGTAAACCGAAAACGCATCTTTCAGATTCTCCAAAACATCATTCTGATCCATACCTTTCGTGTTCAGCTCCACAAACTCTTCAAAGTTTATGTAACCATCTCCTTTACGATCTATCTCAGTGATCGCTTTCTCTAGTTCTTCTTCTGGTACCTCATGACCTAGACTCGCCATTATTGCACCAAGCTCCTTTGACGAGATCTTACCATCTCCATTCACGTCGAATTTTTTAAAAACTGCTTCGAGTTCTCTGATCTCTGTTTTGCCTGAACGTGCCTTTTGAAGGTAAGGTGAATCAGCTCCGATGCCGCCATGGGAAGATGAACCACCGTTGGATCCTTTGTTTTTGTTGAACATATTGTTCTTCTTGTTCCAAAATCACACAATGAGAAAAGAGATTCGGATTTAGAGAGATATCCGTATTTGTGTGATTGATTCCCAAAGGAAGCGGATGATTCTCTTAATCGCTAGCTAATTTTGGAATTTTTGTCAACTAAATCTGGAAGATTTCCTAAAAACTCTCTCAGTTTTATGTAAATCCATGATAAAAAAAATGGATAGCAATTAAATTAATATTTGACATTTTTGTGTCATGCGTAAGTACTGCTCTTCCAATATCGACCGCTTCTCTTGTTATATGATTAAATTAACAAGTGGATCATGGATAACAGATTTTGCATGATCATTTAATTTCTGTCATTTGAATTGTTAAAACATCATAATCAGAACTTTAGAAATTAGAATTCTCATTCTAAAGTCAAAATGATTATTAATATTTAAACAAGCAATTGGGTGTATAAGGACAAAAGAAATATACTGTTGATTACTTGCATTTATTAGCATAAATAATGATTTTGTACTAGTATGCAAGCAATCACGGCCTATGGATCATTATTTTTTTTAATAAAAACTAGATACACTATCTGTACGACTGTACCTTATCACACATCCTATAATTATTTGAGTTGGCCGTACTTTACTGTATATAGTTTTATTTGATTTATTCTTATTAGGACATAATGTTCCACATCGGAAGTTGTAAGAGATCCTAAGTAATATATAAGGGATATGGGTCACTCCACTCATTGCCAATTGGTTTTGAGTTGGAAGCCCATATTCTAATAATTCTTATAAAGAACTTATAAAATAAAGAGTTAATTACGGGTCAGACCATAGTTTTATGTTTTTCTTTCACGTGTTGACAAAGTGAGGGAGAGCATTCATGTTTTGACAATTATGTCATTTTCCGGAGAATTTATAAGAATATCAACTACCATATCTATTAGAATGTCCCACATTGCTTGGAATTAAGATCTTTGGGTAATATATAAAAGATGTGACAATCCTTAACTCTTGAGCTAGCTTTTGGGTTAAGTTAGGCCACATTCCTAATATGGTATCAGAGCCCAAGGTTGGCCCAACAAGCAAATTCCCACACAAATGGTTTCCCACCTATGTGGCCCATATAAGTGGCATGTCTTGTTGTATTTCCGAGATGTTGGGCTTGGGCTGTTTTCCGTTGGACCGTTTCCCACCCACATCTCGAGGAGGCCTATTAGAATGTCCCACATTGCTTGGGATTAAGATCTTTGGGTAATATATAAAGGATGTCGCAATCCTTAACTCTTGAGCTAGCTTTTGGGTTAAGTTAGGCCACATTCCTAATAATATCCTACCTAATTTGTTCGGGAAAACGGTCTATTTCACCACGAGAAGTATCACATCATAACAGATAGAGCCCAAACTTTGACCCCGGTCTAATGTCTCTAAAACCATAGTTTGAAGCCTAAATCTCCCTAAATCCATAGTTTTCACCTAATTACCCATAAATATTGGTTTTGCTCGGTTTAGTGTTTACCAAACAAAGATGAACCAACTAAAAACGAAATTAAACCAATTTCAATCCAATAACAACTAATTGAACATGACCCGACCAAACTCACCCAACCCAACTTTCTTCTTCACCCGATTAGTTTTCTTCATCTTCTTCCCTCTTCTGTTTTTTTCTTTCTTTGTTTTTGAATTCATTATCTTCAATCTCTTGAGTTTTGATGTGACTTGAAGAGTATGAATCTAATAACCTTTGAAACTAGATTATATTTTTCATGATTTTTCAAATCAAATCCTCAAAAAGACGAATCATTTACATATTGAAATCAAAACAAATTGAAATCTATACCTCTTTCCATATATCAAATTGAGAGAGCATCTGTTTCATTACCCATTCTGAAATCAAATCAACCAAATTAGGCGTAAATTAAACACATATAATTGATGAATTTATGCTCCTGTCTCATTCTTAGATCACGTTTTGCTTTCCGATCTCTCCAATGGAATTCGCCATTGCGTCTTTTACGTATCTTCTCTACTCCTCCGAGAGGCCAGATTCCACGACGTTTCATCATCTTCCATGATTCCATCTTAACCACCGGATCCGCCGCTCCGCCAAATCCACCTCCATATCCGCTTCAAAAATCAGATTTGGTTAATCTCATCAATCTCAGAGATCTTCATTGCGAAGAAGAGAGACTAATTGAAGCTTATCAATATTTTCAGGTGAAGAAGAAGAAGTTGGATCGGGTTGGGTTAATTTTGATAATTTTGGGCAAAAAACTGGTTTAATCTGAGATGGTGGTGAATTAGCAGAGATGTTGAAAGATTTCCCTGCTTGTGAACGCTTGGGGACATGCCGTAGCTGTGGGGATGCAAGGTTTGTGCCTTGTACTAACTGCGACGGAAGCACCAAAGTGTTTGAAGAACAAGACGAACGGTTCAAGCGATGTCCTAAATGCAATGAGAATGGATTGGTGCGTTGTCGTGTGTTGTCTCTAAGTGATCTGTTTGATCAAAAGCTGTGTGGGTGAAAGGGGATTTTGGGTTTAGAGTCTTAATCGGGTCGGGTCGCCATTGGGCAAAAAAACTGGTTTAATCTGGTTATAATTAGGTTTACTTGGTTCGTTAATCGGTTTTGAATACAGTAAACCGATTAAACCCAGTTCTGTGTGGTATTAGCTCTCGAACTTTCGATTCGGGGACATTTAGGTGTTGAACTTTCGTCTCGCGGGAAAATAGGAATTGAACTTCCATTTAAGAGACATTAGGATCGGGGTCAAAGTTTGTTATGATGCGATACTTCTCGTGGTGAAATAGACCGTTTTTCCAATTTGTTCCATCAAACATCCTCAAGTTTTTCACTTCCTAGATGAAAATAGTTAATGATTTAATTAGTGGGAGCTCGTATGAATGAGACCATAATGCAATGAACAACCTCATTTAATATAACAACAACGTTTTTCATCAATTTCTATCAACTGTCTCCAACTTATCTTCTGCTATATGTCTAACAATATAAAAAGAACAAGAGAGATAATCGCCTTAATCCTTAGAGTCTTAAGGTAAGATCAGGCTTTGAATTATTATTATCTACACCTCCATTCGCCGCAACCGAGTTCAGATCAAGACCTGGCTCAGTAACAGCCACCACCACCGGAGCCTCAGCTTCCTCAACCACCTGACGGAAGCTCCCAGGCCAGAAGAAGTCGCTGCCGCCATCGTCAGAGTCAAAGAACAATGGCACGGTGTTACCAAAATAGCCTTGATGATGAAACCTAGAAACAAGAGGCTGAGGCTGAGATAAGGTGTGGTGAAGTAAACCGGAGTGAGCTTGCATCCCAAGGGAAGAAGAAGTGTATGTATAAGGCCTGTGATGGTGACCAAACATTCTTCCCATGTGCATTGCTCGCTTGGCCATTGTTCGTTCACGCTTGTGAGCGTTCTGGTGACCTCCAAGAGCCTGAGAGCTATAGAACTTGCGTCTGCAGTAGTTGCAAGAGAAGACTCTTGGGTTTGCTTCACACTTTGTGCTCTTTGTCTCATCGTTGAAACTATCGTTGAGCTTGAGATCGAGTGAGACAGGGTTTGATTCTGGTTTGGACAGATCTTGATTTGAAGAGGCTTCTCCTTCTCTGCTGGGTGGTGTTTCTCGCGAGGCATCATCAGATTCCGGCATTTATTCGAACTTTCGGTCTTAACCTGAAACCTATATTAAAGTCAAAGCAGAGCAACGAGATTGCTCAAATCTATAAATCTAAGAATTGAACAAAGAAGAGAGACAGTAAGTAAAGTCTTAAACAGAGTAACTAACCACTTAGTTCAAAACCTCAAAACAAAGTTCTTGAATTCGGACAATAATCATGAAGACGACCAATCAAAATGAAGCTTTGGAGTTTTAATCCTAGGAAGTAGTTAAGGATAATAAACAGGAATCAAAGATAAGAGAGAGAGATAAAGAAGTTTGGAGGGTACTGTGCTTACGAGATCTGAGGAGAGACAGCCGACAGAAGCTGAAGTAGTTGACTTGGAAGCTAAGAAGAGGAAGAAGAGAATCTAAATAAGAAAAGTGGTACTCTTTGTGTTTACCAAAAATGGGTCAATTCACATGTTGAGAAAAAAAAGACAGATAGAAGATATAGGATTGGTGAAGAAGAGCATAAGAATAAGAGGTACTGAGGGAGAGAGAAAAGAGAGAGAGAGAGAGAGAGAGAGAGAGTTATGTTTAAACAAATGTGGAAACGCAAATGTTTGGAGAGATGGAGATGGTGTCTGGTGAAACACATGGGAGAATAAAAGTGTCTGCCAGTTAGACTTTTAGACCTCTGTTTTTTTCCTATAGTTCAACGTTTAGAGGCACAGCCAAATAGTAGTATATTTTTCTAAATTAATCAAGTAAAGTAATATGCTTTCAATAAAAATAAAAATAAATATATATATATATAACCAAGGATAATTTTGAATTATTTTACAACAGTGTTCGTAAAGGTGTAGCCGTATAGGCGTTGGTATGCACGTTCGAAAGTTATGTTCATTATGCGTTCATTGTGATGTGCTATAGGCAAACTTTGTCGCATCACTTTTAAAAGTTCACAAAACCTTTGAAGTTTTGAAAACATTGAGAAGTTGTAGTCTATAATATATATATTGTTAAGTTGACAACTTTCTTTTGTTATTTTGTAGGGGTTACAGTTAGTTTTCAGTTAGTTTTTTTTTTTTTCTTTTTTTGCCAGTTTCCTTTGATTTTATAAAATAATTGAAATTATAACAAATCAGTTTAATTTGTGTTTGGTGATTTACAAGATCATATCCAAGATTTTTGCTCAAGACTGAAACAAAATTTGTCATAATTGGTTTGGAACAAGACGCATTTGTATTTGGATTATTGATCCTAGCGGATAAAGATGGATGATAGCCATTAAAACAAACATTTCAGAAACTTATAACATAATCAGTGGAGTCTTTTGAAGATTTTTTTGGTCAGATGAGTTTTGATCGAAAATGAATATGATGTTACATTTAGAAATTGATCATTCTAAAAAAAAAAGAGTACACATGCATATTGTTACTTAGTAGTTGAAAAGTTTCGAGTTAGATATGTGAAATTTATACAGAAGAAAAAATAAAGGAAAAACAAACTGTTTATTTATTTATTTTGGGGCAAAGCAAACTGTTTATTTTATAGTTACAAAACAAACATAATAGTATTGTTCAATTATTTATCTCACTCGTCAGAGCTCTTCATTTAATTTGGATATTTTCATGAATATTTAATAATTGAACTCGGCCACTTAAGTACACTAGATTTTATACCCCGCGCGTTGCGCGGGATTTTAGTTTAAAATCTCTTCTATTAATATCAAATTTTTATCATAAAATATAATCATTAAAATTTAAAAGATAAATATTTGAGCATAAATATAATAAGCGATATACAACATATATATTGTCGACGATAATATTTCCTTGACAAATAAATAGTTTGATATATATCACGTGGTAACAAAGATCACTTAAAAAATTCGCGAGAAAAATAAACGATATCGACGACCTTCAAATGATCCTTTTATCTTATCTCTAAAAAATTTTCTTTCTTATTCATATTCCATGAAAACATTTTTTTTTAAAGTGTTGAAGTTAATTATTGATTGTTGACTCAATTGTATATATTATTTATGATTAAATATTGATACGAACATAACATCATTCCATATAAAATGCGAATATATCGAGTTTCATGAACATTATCTAATGTAAATGTACATATATAATACCATCTTGCTAGAACAGCTTTAGCGAGCTTGTTTTACCCATCGAAGCAAATGCAGCGTGTCATAAATGCAGTGTGTCATAAGAGAATTCTCGAGTAAGTCATCATTGTGTCTATCTTATCTCACTTTCCATGATTTATATGACTAAATGGTTAAGCCCAAGTTTGAATCTAATATTCTGTTTAATAATGTATGTCATGTATTTTTCTAAGAACCCATTCGTTTCACACAATGAATGAGATCTCAAAGATTTTACTTTAGTCATGTGCATTATCTTTCTAAGTTTTAGAAATTTATTTTCACACACTTTTAACTATCAATTCTTTCGTCATCTTCTATGATAAACTCGTTGCCTTCTGACATCAACTTTCTTTTCACTTTATATTGACTCACATATAATATATATTGGACTGTGAATTAATTTCAAGACATATCATAACTATTTTCTCCTTAATTCATATCTTTCAATACTCAGTTTTTTGGGTTAAAAGCATTGGATTCAATTGATAGAAAAATCAATTTTTTTTTATCATGTTATAAAGTTAAAGTTCAACATGAGAATATGCTACACAAATTATATATCACCTTTTTTTTAACAACTTACATATCATTTTTTGTATATTTTGTTGTAGAATTCATGAATAATGTGATCATTGATTATTTATTTTTTAAAAGATGAATGATAATGTTTTAAAATTTATAAGATTTGTTTTTATAATTTTACAAGATAAAATGTGAATCTTACAATATCTCCGGCTTAAATTATAAATTTCAGTTGAATTCAATAAGTTTTTTTATTTTTAAGTAAAAATTTAATAATAAATAAAAATATGTAGTATATCATTCTTAGAAACTAATGCTTTACTATAAATTTAATCTTCTTGTTTAAAATCTTATATATAGAATTACATAAATTTAGTTTTATACTTTTATTCTACCATGCTTTTAAATTAAAAGATTACACATTTAGAAATTTGAAGTATGATCATTTTTAATTTTTATCTGTTGAAAGTTGAATTATATTATTACTACTAATAAAATTTTAATTGTATTATTTTCTTATTATATTAACATTTCATTTTTTTACATGATTCAGTTTTTATTTATTTTTATTTTTTGTATTAATTATAAGTAACATAAATATGCACTAGGCCTGGGCATTCGGATTTCAAATCGGATTCGGATCGGATATATTCGGATTCGGATAATTCGGGTATGAGAGTTTATTATCCGTTCGGATTTTATGATTTTTTGGTTCGGTTTCGGTTCGGATATATTCGGATTCGGATAATTTGGGTAGGAGAATTTATTATCCGTTCGGATTTTATGAGTCATCGGTTCGGTTTCGGTTCGGATAGGTGTCAGATTCGGATCGGTTTTCGGGAAAAAAAAACTTAAAAATAGTTCAATCTTAATAAAAATTGGTTTAATCTTACTAAAATTTGGTTAAATTTTGCAAAAATATGTATAATTTTAACAAATATAACCAAATTTTTTCCCAAATCTAGGATATTTAGGATATTTTTGTTATTTGCTATAAAATTACAACTAAATATAACTAATATTTTTGGATATATAATTTTTATTTCCGGTTTTCGGATATCCTTTCGGTTTTTGGTTCGGATCGGGTTCGGTTCGGGTAATTCGGATAGGAGAATTCATTATCCGTTCGGATTTTGTGACTATTCGGTTTGGGTTCGGTTTCGGATTTTTCGAATCGGTTTTGGATTGGTTTTCGGATTTCGGGTTTTATGCCCAGGCCTAATATGCACTAAATGAATGTTAAAAATTTATTTTAATGTACAATAAATAGTGTTGCTTAGGTAGATATGCTAGATGGAGAGAAAACTCTCGTAGAAAAAAACGAATTGAGAGCAACGAATTTGATAAATTTGCATGGAGCCCATACATTCATTCCCCCGGCTTTACCTTTTCTTTTGGATGTGGACATTTCTTGCTGTGTTTTTTCTGATATATCACATGTGGTTTTAAAGTCTCTGCTTTTTTTGTCTCATTTCTATCTAACTTTTCTTTTTGCAAAGTTTAAAAACTTTTTTCCGATAGGGTTAATTTAATCTAAATACATAGATAACTGAAAAATTAAGAATATGTACATGTTTTTTGTATAATTAGTTCTCTCTCATCAAGTTATATAAATTGGACGAAAATACCCTTCCGTATGTAACAAATTGTTTAGCGGTATAATAAAATAGATATCGACGATATAAATATTTCAGATGGATTCCGACAATATTATGTGTTTAATATGCTAAATAATTTGTTATCACAGTAAGTTTACATATTATGTGTTAAATGGATGTTTATCGATTTAAATTTGTGAATCAGTGTTTTTTCATTTATGCATATATCAATTCAATAAAAAGGATTAGTCTTTCTCTTACATGATTAACATGATAAATCATATTATATCGCGATAAGTTTACAAGTTACGTGGTAAACTAACATTTACCGTGTTAAAACATTTATTATATGATTATATGAGCTAACTTATGTATTTAATCTGTTTATTTAATTTAATAATTTATTTTTTCCGTTAACTTATACATTAGCATATTCATTTATCATGATAATATGATTGTTACGTTTAAAATATGTTAGCATTTTATATAAGTTGCTAATTAAATTGTTATCCGTTATGGAATCGACCCAGAAGAATGTGATAATAATCGTTGCCGTCGACGATACTCATTCTCCTATCTTGATCGATTAACCTCATCAAAACTCCAATTGGCAAATTCCTCATTGCATAAGTCCGTCAAGGTCTTGAACCCCGCAGCTCAATCCACAATCCACCATGAAATTTTTTAGATGTCGTACTTGCTCCGACGCTATTTCAACTACACCGCCTGTAAAATTATCACCATCAATATCATCACCCATCACCAGTATCATCATCACCACCACCACCTGTAAATCCCCGAAACTACCACCACTATCTCAACTATGATCACCGCCTCTAAATTTGTCACCGTCGGTATCATCATCACCTATCACCACCGGTATCATCATCACCACCACCACCTGTGAATCACCAAAACCACCACCGTTTTGGTTTTGGCCTCCACATAATCGAAAACCCACAAAAGTTTGATTTTGTTAAGTCAATTTCATCGTGAAGAAACAAGAAAGAGAAAGAAAGAAGAAGAAAGAATTAAGAGATAAGAAGTTTAATTATAGCCAAGGATAGTGTTGTATTTTCCATATGCACAGTAAATATCAAATAGTACGAAAGAGAGAGAACTAATTAGTGAATCTTCTATGGTCTTCCAGTATAGATATCCTTTCCGATACTGTGTGGTATGTTACTAATAATCACTCGTGCGGTGAAAAATAAGGTGTTATGTTTTTTTTTTTGTTCTATGAAAACGTTGTTCGTAATCAAACAAGGAAATACTCATATGCTAATTTTTTTGGCAATCTAATTTTTTGTTATTACTCGCTAAATTTGGTCGTACTCGCTACTTTGTTATCAGCGGCAAAGCTGCCCGCAGGTGAAAAGTAAGGTGAGAAAAATTCACCAGACCTCCAACCGAAAACTACTAGTGAACCAACGACTGTTAAAACAAACCAAATTTAATCGTTGCCATTAATTGCTAACAACTACAATCTACAAAACCAAAAAGAAAAATATATTGCTAACAAATATGTTGTTGCTACTTGATAGTAACTACAAAACGTAAATGACCAATGATTTTTTCGGATTTTTTCTTTGTCAACAGCCTTGAATTAAGATTTTTTCTTTGTTTTTTTTGCCATCTGATGAATCTCTTTTCAAAGAGGGGTTTGTGTGTGGAACAATTCAAGCCAGGACAAAATCAATCTTGGGATCGTGGCAAAAGACAAAGAGATAATGGTGCTCCATAATTTATCTTTATTGTCTTTGATTCGTTGAGTGATTATGACCTGTGCCCACTTTTGTTCCATTTCCATCCCAACTTGTCTGTGGGCCTTTGTGCCCACTTCAATTCATTAGCTTTCCGATCACATTTCACAAATGATTGTTCCATCGTTTCTATGTTGCTGGGTGGTATTTTTAAGAGTATAGCCTTGCAGACAAAGTTGATGAAACGATTCATGTGAATCCTTTGAATAAAACTTATTACTTAAGAAGTTCTTGAGTAACTTGATGTTGACAGAAAATACAACTTGTATTAAGTAGAGCTTTTAGCGACTTGGGGAACAAGGGAAAGCAATCAGGTTTTGACACCTGTCAATTTCATCATCATTCTTAAAGACAGAGAATCAAAGATATAGACGATCAAAGACCATATAATATGCTAAAACTTCATTCAGGACAAAGATAGGAGTTCGCCCTAAAAAACTTCTCTCCTAGGCACAATAACCAAGGCAGCCGCAAGCCTTGGTCGAGATGAGTTTCCTTCACCGGCGATGCTCTTCCGACTGCCTTCCTTTCTGATTGGTGCTTCTTCTAAGGTGAGATCTCTTCGGTGAAGCTCCTTTTCCGGTGACGTAACTATTCCGGCGAGCCTTTCACTTGAGATGACTTCCCTTTTTCTTTCCAATGCGAGCCACTCTCGTTGCTTACCGTTGTCTTCGGTCGCCTTCCTCCTTCTGAGGCCCCCTCGTGCAACACCGCCGGAGCCTCCATCTCCGCCGAATCCACCGGAACCACCGGATCCACCAGACTTTCAGATCTGCTTCACTTTTGTTGATTCTTGTACCCAGCTGGCGAGCTCCTCCGTCATTTATGGCTCTCCATCCTCCTTCTCTCAGTCACCGGGTTTGGTGAGACCTAATTTAGCTCATTCAGTTTCAATGGACTTGGATTCTTTTGAGTCTACAATTGTGCTCTCTTGTAGCGCCTTTATCGCTTTGATGCGATCTTTTACCGCAGTATGCGGATTCTGTCTCGATTTGTCTAGTCTTGTGTTGACATCTTTACTTTGGCTGAGTGATTGCCAGTTTCGAGTTCAAGCTCCTTCGATTGTCCCCACCGCGATTCTCTCCTCCGTCACCCCTGGAAGTCTTGATGTCGTCTTATGCAACCTCGCTCTCTCTGTGAACTCCTGGGATTGGATGGGCTTGGTTCAGCCTTGCGTGTCCTCAAGTGACATGTATGTTGCCTTCCCGTGTGCCCCGACTGCTGTAGGTAGCTCGTGGGCTGGAATCGTCATGAACTGCGTGTGCCAAAGGATTCAGACCGGCTCTCTCTTCAATGGGCAACCCCAGCCCTCATGGGCTCTCCTCCCCATTTACATGACGTCGAAAGGACTAGGCCTCACGGAAGAGGACGGTTGGGTTATAAAGTCCCAACCAATCCAGCCATCATCACAAAAGGTGGAAGCGTTCTTGAGCTTCTCGGATGCAGCATGGTTACAATCCTCGATCTGCTGTGGGTTGGGCTGGTGTTTCAAGGACCCATCAACGGAAAGATCCACCATGGATCTTTTTCAAGACCCTTTGTGTCCTCTATTCTTGTAACGGAGGCACTAGCTCTCAAGGCGGCTATCATGGCAGCTTTAGCATTGGGTGTATCAAGGCTGGCTTGTATTTCAGATTGTCAGGAGCTTGTTCTTCTGGCCAATACCGGTGGCTACGCAAACGAAGTAGATGGCATATTAACGGATTTCTTTCGTTTTATGTTTATGTCTAGTTCTGTTCACTTTGTTCCAAGTGCTGAAAACTGTGGAGCTGATGCTTTAGCAAAAGCTGGCCTATTATCCTGTATTCCGTCCTCCATATCTGGAGTTTGAATCTTTTTATAATGTTATTTGGTTTACAAAAAAAAAAAAAAAAAAAAAAAACGATCAAAGACCATCGCGTGATGATCGTCTTTAGTAAATAACTAAATACTAAATAGTATGATGTTGATTTGCTCGTGGGTTCACGAGTCAGTTCTGATGGGCTTATACATGTTGCAAGGTAAAGCCTTTTTTATTTGAGGTTTTTAATGGGCTCAAGCAGCTGAAGGAAGCTGTAGAAATACTAAAGAAGCAGGTCCGCAATAATCTTTATTTATATTATTTTGGTGTTTTATCATTGGGCTAAAGCTGCTTCGTGACAAAATTAGGAACCGTCGTCGATCACAATTCAAATCTGTGTTAATAGGTGTGGTGGTCCGTGTGGACGGAGGGAGAAGCACAACTGCACAAGCAGTTGGTTTATCACTATTTTATTTTCTTCGTTACCAAAATTTTGTTAAATTAGTCCCTCAAATCCAAAACAACAACAAAACATGTGATTGTGAAAGAGCAGGTCCACGATAAACTTAAATCAATTAAGCGACGTCACATTCTCTTTGATATGGATGAGAAAAAAAAACTCATTTATCATGGGAGTTTTTTTTGAGGAATTTTCTCAATTTTAAAAAGGAAACAAATCTCATTACAAAAAAGGGAAATATAATAAAGAAATGTAAATTTGGCATTTCCCTCGCTTATTAAGTCATTTAATATTTCCAAGAAGAGCAATAAAATCTGCCGTTTCGTTTTCTCTTTCTCATTCAATTCAAGAAGAAGAAGAAAATCTCGGCCCAAAAAGTTTCTTCCTTTTGTGTCCCCCTTTGAAGTCTTAAACCCTAATCTATCACTGTCTGTGAATCAACGCCTCCCTGCGTTTGTTTTTCCGAAGATGATCATCGCAAAAAGCTTCCTCCTTTTGCTCTGTTTCATCGCCTTGGTGAACGGGGAATCGAGCCCTGATGAGGCGGTCATCATGATAGCTCTGAGAGACTCCCTGAACCTAACTGGAAGTCTCAACTGGTCCGGTTCGGATCCTTGTAAGTGGTCGCTTGTACAATGCGACGACACAAGCAATAGGGTCACCGCGATCCAAATCGGGGGCAAAGGAATCTCAGGAACGCTACCTCCTGATCTCGGAAATCTAACATCTTTGACTAAGTTCGAGGTCATGAGGAACCATTTAACAGGGCCAATCCCGAGTCTTGCTGGGTTGAAATCGTTGGTAACGGTGTATGCTAATGACAATGATTTCACTTCTGTCCCTGTGGATTTCTTCACTGGTTTGAGTTCTCTTCAGTCTGTGTCTCTGGATAACAATCCTTTTGTTTCTTGGAAAATCCCTCCGAGTTTGGAAGACGCGACTGCTCTAGCAGATTTCTCCGCTGTCAACTGCAATCTTTCAGGGGAAATCCCGGGTTTTCTCGGTGGAAAAAATTTCTCTAGTTTGACGACTCTGAAACTTTCTTATAATTCGCTTGTAGGTGAACTTCCGATGAATTTCTCCGAATCACGTGTTGAAATTCTGATGCTTAACGGGCAAAAGGGAGCGGAGAAGCTCCATGGGTCAATTTCGGTTCTGCAAAACATGACTGCTTTAACCAATGTTACGCTGCAAGGGAACAGCTTCTCGGGTCCTTTACCAAACTGTTCTCGTCTAGTCTCGCTGAAAAGTTTTAATGTTAGGGAGAATCAGCTTACGGGCCTTGTTCCCCCCTCTTTGTTTGAGCTTCAATCTCTTTCTGATGTGGCTTTAGGCAATAACTTGCTCCAAGGACCAACTCCAAACTTCACGGCTCCCAACATTAAGCCTGATATGACTGGGCTCAATAGTTTCTGCTTAGATACCCCAGGTACTCCTTGTGATCCCCGTGTCAACACGTTGCTTTCAATCGTTGAAGCCTTTGGTTACCCGGTGAATTTTGCGGAGAAATGGAAAGGAAATGATCCTTGTAATAGATGGGTAGGGATCACTTGTACTGGAACTGATATCACTGTTATTAACTTCAAAAACTTGGGGCTCAACGGCACTATCTCTCCACTGTTTGCTGATCTTGCGTCTCTTCAGGTTATTAATCTCTCTCAGAATAATCTTAGTGGTACTATTCCACAAGAGCTCACTAAGTTGAGTAACTTGAAAACTCTAGATGTTTCGAATAATCGGTTGTGTGGTGAAGTACCGGTTTCTAACACAACTATTTTTGTTGTAATCACGAGTGGGAATTCCGATATAAATAAGGAATGTCCTAAATCTTCCGGGGATGGTGGCAAGAAAGCATCTCGCAATGCTGGGAAAATTGTTGGTTCTGTTATTGGCATTTTGTTAGCTTTGCTTCTCATCGGATTTGCTATCTTCTTGTTGGTCAAGAAAAAGAAGCAATATCATAAGATGCATCCTCAACAACAATCTAGTGACCAAGATGCATTCAAGATTACAATTGAGAATCTGTGTACTGGTGGTAGTGAAAGTGGATTCAGTGGTAATGACGCTCATCTAGGAGAAGCTGGGAATATTGTGATCTCAATACAAGTTTTGAGAGATGCTACAGATAATTTCGACGAGAAGAATATACTTGGCAGAGGAGGATTTGGAATAGTTTACAAGGGAGAGTTGCATGATGGAACAAAGATTGCGGTTAAGAGAATGGAGTCTTCGATTATAAGTGGAAAGGGTTTAGATGAATTTAAATCAGAGATTGCTGTTCTTACTAGAGTTCGACACCGTAACCTAGTGGTTCTTCATGGTTATTGTTTAGAAGGCAATGAGAGGCTTCTGGTTTATCAGTACATGCCACAAGGGACATTAAGTAGGCATATGTTTCATTGGCAGGAAGAAGGTTTGAAGCCACTCGAGTGGACTAGACGGTTGAGTATCGCATTGGATGTGGCTAGAGGAGTGGAGTATTTGCATACTTTAGCGCATCAAAGTTTCATACACAGAGATCTCAAACCTTCTAATATTCTTCTTGGAGACGATATGCATGCTAAAGTTGCTGATTTTGGTTTAGTCCGGCTTGCGCCAGAAGGTACACAATCAATTGAGACCAAAATTGCTGGAACATTTGGTTATCTTGCACCAGAATATGCAGGTACAGTTCTATGCTTATTATGTATGTTGCTACTTGTACTAAACTCACTAAATATTGAAATATCTATGTATGTGTGTACATTGCAGTGACCGGAAGAGTTACAACAAAGGTTGATGTTTACAGCTTCGGAGTCATCCTCATGGAGCTACTAACGGGTCGAAAAGCTCTTGATGCCACGCGATCTGAGGAAGAAGTACATCTTGCCACATGGTTTAGGAGAATGTTTATCAACAAAGACTCGTTTCCAAAGGCGATCGATCAAACAATTGAGGTCAACGAAGAGACACTTGGAAGCATCAACATAGTAGCTGAGCTTGCCAATCAATGTAGCTCCAGGGAACCGCGAGATAGACCCGACATGAATCACGTGGTCAACGTGTTGGTCTCACTTGTTGTACAATGGAAACCGACAGAGCGAAGCAGTGACTCCGACGATATCTATGGAATCGATTACGATACTCCTCTTCCTCAACTTATTCTTGATTCGTCTTATTTTGGAGATAATACTCTGATGAGCATACCGTCGCGACCTTCGGAGCTTGAAAGCACATTCAAATCAGGACAAGGGAGGTAAAATGTGTTAGAGAATTAGCTGGAACCTGGAAGTAGAAATGTTTTGTTGTTGGATGAGTTCTTGTTTTAGGTTTTCGAATAGTGAATATTATCTTGTTGGTTACCTTGTTTTTCAATTTAGGGAGTCCTATTCGCACGAGTGGAACCCATATGCTTAAATTGGACACGTGTTTTGGTCCCTTGTCGTAGACCAGCTGGATTGAGACGTTCTAGATATTTAGAAAGTTTACGTTGGGCAATGGCATTGACTCAAGAATTTAGTTCGATTGATGTTTCATTTGACATGTATAATTCGATTTACATGATTTTTTTTTTTTTTAATGGTTTTAGATATTATACATATCCTTGATTTTAGATAGCAACTTCCAAAATTATATTCCAAACAAAGATGTAATTAACATTTTTTTTTTTTTTGACGTCTAGATTTATTATTTATTGTAAATTATGAGAACTGTTACATAGACGATTCTACAACGGACAATTTCTTCCGATCCTTATTAGATCCACGACAGACGACATTTCTTTCTCCATGCTCTTGACGGACATCTTCAATGATTCACGACCTGACGACACTTCTCTCTCTGCGTGGAATCCTGACGAACGGCTATAATTGTACTTCGCTGGAGATCTCCTGCACACTTGTCTCCTTTAATTTGCAAATTTATTAATAAATCGCAATATCTGGGACTCGAACCCCAGACCTCTTGGTGTAGAATCATTAATTAACCCATGATCAACCAATGGACCAAAGGGCCTTCCACCAACATTTTTAATTTGTATATACTTTTTTTTTGGTATTTCTTTAATTTGTATATACTAGTCACGTACAGTATAATATAATGGGAATCTTGGCAAATGTACCACTTTATGACGATTCCCTTTGAAATCTACCACAATTGGAAAAGGTTTTTTGTTTCTACCACTTTTTTTGTCATGTGATAATTTATGGACAAGTTTGCCCTTGATGGCGACAGACTGATGTGTCAGAAAAAAAGACAGCTGCATTAATTGCACTCGGGGACAATTTTTGTTACATTCAGGGACAAATTTTATTACACTCGGGGACAATTTTTTCGGAACTCCGTCGACGAAGCTTCACCGCTCCAAATCCTGTGAGCTATGGGAATCATCATCTTCATCATCATCTAGACCGATCAAAACTCATTCGATTCGAAGAGTTTATAGCGCAAATTTAGATCCATTCTCCGACGAAGAGTTTTCAAAAAAAATCCAAGAGCTAACTCTCAGATTCAATGTCCCAAACCAAAACGACGACAAGAATTCAGAGCCGATGATAATTCACGATTACAAAGCTAATTCAATCGAGCCACCATGGAATGAGATGGTTCATTTGTCGAGTATTGAAATGAAAGCAAACAGTGTTGATCTTCCTCGTTCACTTACTCGGGGACGAAGACGAAGATCTGGATTTACTCGGGGACAACTTTGTTTCGAAAAGTCACATCAACTGCAGTTCTTTATCTCACCAGTTGGAGGTAAAATGGTCATTTTACAAACACAATGTGGTATGAATGATAATTGGGATTCAAATGTGGTAGAAGTGATAACTTTTGGGCAAAATGTGGTACCCAATCTAATTTTTCCTAATATAATCCATTAATTAATTTTTTTAAAATTCATCAAAATATCGTGTTGGACTCAAAAACCATCTGAGCCCATGGGCTGGTTTCACGCCGAACAACACCCTAAGACTAAACCGGATCCGGTTTGTATTGAAATTGTACAACATAATAATGATCTCTTCAATTTTTTGCTGAAACAAAGACGACAGGAAAAAAAATCGGTAAGTAGAAAAAGGAAAAAGAATAGTAGTCCGTCTCTGCAAAAACAAAACATATAATATCATCACACCGTCATCGTCTTCAATTTACTTCCATCAAATCAAATGATCCAAAACCCTAATTTCTCTTTTCTTCTCTGATCAAAATTGTTCGTTCCTCTCCCTTTTCATCTTATCTTTCCGATATCGGAATGCTTATTTTCTGCTCGCCAATCGAATTTTCCTTAGTTTAAACCCTATTTTCTTCATCTTCTAGGGTTTCGACAAGGGGGAGAGTGAAAGATATACATACATACACACGAAAGGGTTAAAGATGTCTCTTCCGCTACTGGAGTGTAAGTACGTGACGGAGGAGTTTGTTCGTGAAGGTAAGAATGGCAACTATGGAACCAAGCTGCCCAGCTCTGTACCGATGCTTCGTTTCCTCTACGAGCTCTCTTGGATTTTGGTATACACACAAACAACACTTCTCTTCCTACTATCCAATCACGCGTATATGTTCTTCGAGTTCCTCAAGGGTGCCCTCGTGATGGATTATTAGGTTCGTGGCGAATTGCCAATTCAGAGCTGCAAGGCAGTGTTGGACGGTGTGGAGTTTTTGGATAAGCCATCCAAGGAAGAGTTAGCTTCTTGTTTTGCGGATGTTGTGACTCAGATAGCTCAAGACGTAAGTCTTTCTAATAACAGTTTTGACTTTCTTAGTTTTAACAATTTAGCGTTGGATTGATTGTTTTTGTCTTGTCTTTGCTTCTTTTTGCAGCTTACCATGTCGGGAGATCAACGTTCTCGCCTAACCAAATTGGTCAGTACTAGAATTTATTTTACGTTTTGAAAATTGATCGTTGTTTCGGCTTGTTAGTTTTGATTAGGAACGATAATTCTACTTATTTGTTCATATAAAGATTAGAGATCACAACAGAATTATGCAATAGTATTCTATGCTGAATAAATTAGAGCATGGGGTGTCTAGCTATCAGTAGTGTCCTAAGGTTCAACCAACCGGTGGCTCATTCTGGGCAGGTTGCAAGAAGTTTTCTGATTGTAAAAGGTTACTTCGTCCTAAGGAGCTGAAACTTTGACCTTAATGCCTTAGATGATCTATTAGTGCAGTTTGTTATTGAACTTCCCTTGTGTGCTTGATCCAATGTTGTCTGAGCTGCTTACGTGATTAGTGTCTGCGTTGTTAACATATGTTTTATTTTATTGAATTTGATGATTGCATACTTTACTCTCTTCCTTAAAATATACTTTCTGTTCTCATTTACCATCTCCTCAAGGTTTCTCTGCTCACAGCTACCGATCATTTTGTTTTTTTCTTTGTAGGCGAAATGGCTTGTGGAATCACAGACAGTCCCTCTAAGGCTTTTCCAAGAGCGTTGCGAGGTAAACATTATGTTACTTTCAGCCAATGAATAATCAGGAAAATGCCCAAGAAACAGAATAAAACGAAGATAATCTTTATATTGATAGTACTTAGACAAGAAATACAGATTTGAGAGGTTTATTAATAGAGTCCCCTCTTATTCCCCCTTACAACTTTCTCTCAGTTCTCGATAACTCCCTCACTGGTCCCCTCATATATATAGCATGAACAAGTGTGGAGTGATAGATAGAGACTGCTTTACTATTTATTGTAGTTGCTAAGGTAATTATAGAAGTTAACTTCAAGGCTGAAGCCTATTTCGGAAGTCACACTAATCCCTTAGACTGAAGAAAGGTCCTCACAAATCCAGTGGACCAGCTGGTCTCACGGACTAGCCCTCTTCTTCTTGCTGTAGGTGTAAAGGATAGGAGGGTGCAAGTCCTATAATGTTTATTATTATTCCCAATTTGAGTAGTTTGTACCCCACCTAACCTCTATATTTTCTTGATCAGTAAGAAGGTAAATTTTCTGAAGGCGCTGATTATTGAGTTTTTTTATTTTCTTCTAGGAGGAGTTTCTCTGGGAAGCTGATATGGTTAAAATAAAGGCCCAAGATTTGAAGGGGAAAGAGGTGAGGACTTCACACATCTGTAACTGCTGTTTTAATGTGACATACAGTTTGCTATAGGTTATAGCGGTAATTATATGATGATATTATCTTGTTTAGTCATCAATGCAGCTGCACTGTGGTCTGCTTTATGTCATAGTTACTCTGAGTGAATTGCTATTGCGGAAGATTAATGCATATAAGAATTTCTACTTTAGTGTAACTGCTTCTCATTGTTTGGAAATAACAATTCTGGTTGGTTCTACTCAGGTGCGATTAAACACTCGCCTTCTGTACCAGCAGACAAAGTTCAACTTACTCCGTGAAGAAAGCGAGGGATATGCCAAATTGGTTCGTTATAGGATCTCTAGCTTTTCTCTGTTGTCATTTTTCATGTCCACTTCGTTTCTATGCCCTTTCTTAGATACTCTTTACTTCTGTTTCTCTGAAACACACTTAAGGAATACCCCTTTAATTTTTGGAAGGGATGATCTATTCAACACGGTTCTAGTTGAAAGGCATATCTTCTGTTAGTTTACTTACATTATAGCTGTGCAGAGTAATGAACATATTATCTCAGTAGAGTTTCTATTGATTTGTGGAGTTAGATTAAATCAGATTGTACATACACCAACTTATTGCAGTTGTTCCTTTTTGTGGAATGCAGGTCACTCTTTTGTGCCGAGGATCTGCAAGTTCTTCGCACAATGCATCAGCAGCAACGATGGGAATTATCAAGGTTTTGATTCGGCCAATACATTATGTTTCGCATATGTATTCCATTTACCTTTTCTGAACTTTATAATTTCTTGCAGTCATTAATTGGGCATTTTGACCTGGATCCAAACCGTGTTTTCGACATAGTAAGTTTTCACTGTTGATTCTGTCATATTTTGTCGCATCACGCATCAATCTGTCCTTCACTATTAGTAATGTACTCTTTGTTATTGATGAATAGGTTTTGGATTGCTTTGAACTCGAACAAGACTACGACACATTTCTCAATCTAATTCCTATCTTTCCTAAGGTTTGGAATGTCTTCCTCGTATTTTCATATTCTAATGCTTAGCTTGAGAGACTTTTTTTTGCTAAAAAATTCTTTTTCATATGCAGTCTCATGCTTCACAAATTCTTGGATTTAAATTCCAATACTATCAGAGATTAGAGGTGAATAGCCCTGTTCCAGTTGGGCTCTATAAGCTTACAGCCTTGCTAGTAAAGGAAGAGTTTATCAATCTTGAAAGCATGTGAGTACTTTTTCCTTCAACTGTTTTTTTCGCCCTTTCCTTTCTTGCTTTCAAGGTATTTGGATCCTCTCCGGAATATTCAAAATCAAGCATTGTGTGGCCTTAAGGAAATATACTGGTTTTATCTTTTGCCGTAGACTGAAGTCTCCTTACTAATTGGATACTTGTACATAGTCTTCCTCATGACGACTTCTTTTCTTTTCGTTATGTGAGAATAAGGCTATTTGCACACTGGTTTTTATCCTTTTTTCGCATACTGAAGTCTTCTTTCTAATTGGATACTTGTACATGTCTTCTTCATAACTAGTTCTTTTTTTCTTCATTGTGTGAGAATAAGGCTATATCAGTTGGAATATAAATTAGAGATTGTCTTCTCTTCTGCACTTGTCTCTTATTTCTAGTTGTTTGGTATCAATTTTAAGTTCGTTTCTTAGTGTAGTCTGAAAGGAAATTATTGAAGTTTACTTGTGAAAATTCCTTTTGGCTGTTGTAAGTTACTTTTTACTTAGAGATTGCTCTTAGGGAGGAATACCTAGTAGACTTAATTTCTTTTTCTTGTGAGCAACGCACTCAAATCATTATCTTATGTCAACAATGTACTGATTTTGGTGATTACTAGATTGGTACTTTTCTTTGTGCCTCTAACAAGTGAAATTATACTGAATATATGGACCTTATATTCTTATGCTGTTTTGCCTGACTGTTGTGAACAGATATGCACATCTGCTACCTAAGGACGACGATGTTTTTGAAGATTATAATGTTTCTTCTGCAAAGCGATTTGAAGAGGTACAGTTCAAAATATGACCTCGTCCTTAAGATGCTTGTAGGTGCATGTGTATAGATGTTTTAAGATAGTTTTGTTCTGGCCTAGCATAAGTTGTCTATATGTTTCTTATGTGTTAAAACCTTTTTTCCCCTTGAGACAAAGGAACAAACATGTTTTCTCTGCTCTTCTTACCTTCGTAAATTTTAATAAATACTTAGATACTAAGCACTTCTCCATTTTCGTGGAAGCCAGGCAATTATTTTTGTTTTTTTTTTTTTTGTTTTTGAGGCCTTACTTCATATGTTTACTTATGAGTTATGATTTTTACAAGCCCCTCCTTTTCTACAGGCCAATAAAATTGGAAAAATTAATCTCGCTGCTACTGGGAAGGATCTTATGGAGGATGAGAAGCAAGGAGATGTCACAGTAGATCTCTTTGCTGCTTTAGACATGGAAAGTGAAGCTGTTACTGAGCGATTACCAGAGCTTGAAAATAATCAGACTCTGGGTCTTCTTAATGGTTTCCTCTTTGTGGACGATTGGTATGTATACCGAATCATTTCTTTTTACTTAACAAATCCACTGTTATCAAACCAATCCATTTGGTTAACACGTTTCTTGAACCAGTGCATGTGGAATTTTAAGTTATATTAGGATGAGATTTCTTCATGAAGTACTCTGTATGTTATTGTTATTTTTGTGATAAATGCATTGCCTTTTTATTACTTGAAATTGAACTTAGAGGACATGTTGGATGACTGTTACTGGTGTCTTCTGCCGAGTTCACGTCTCAGATCCATACTATCATAGAAAATTTGTTTACATTATAATATACAACGCTATTTTGTATATTTAATTTATATTAAAAGCGTACTACTTACTCTTCCCCTTTCTGCTCAACTGAGGTGAAAGCTCTTTTTTTTTTTTTAACTTTTATGTTAACCCTTACTTCTTTTCAGGTATCATGCCAATATCTTGTTCGAGCGTCTTGCGCCTCTTAATCCAGTGGCACACGATCAGATTTGTAGTGGCTTGTTTAGGTTAGTGAGTAATCCTTTAGCTCGGACTATTCTGCACTCAGATTTATAGCGGTTTCATTTCTTTGCATCTTCAGCTCTATGTATCCAAGAGATACTGTAGATCTAGCCAGTGGCCACTAATCTATGATAACAACAATGATTTTTTTGTCTATGTTTTCAGGCTTATAGAGAAGTCAATTACTCATGCTTATCGCATTGCTCGTCAGACACGTGTTCAAAATTCTTCTTCTGCGGGTACAGATAAGATCACACACACTGCTAATAGGACTTATCTAGATCTTCCGAAAGAAGTGTTTCAAATGCTTGTTACTGTTGGACCCTACCTGTACCGCAATACACAACTGTTGCAGAAGGTGCGCTGACCTTTAAAATATTGAATGTTCTATACAGAAGATTCAAGATTGAAGCTGATATATTTTTATCACGGTGGCAGATTTGTAGAGTATTAAGGGCTTACTACTTGTCGGCCTTAGATCTTGTTCGCGATGGGTCAAATCAAGAAGGTAGTGCATATGAAGTTTCTCGTGTGCACCTGAAGGAAGTTAGGTTGAGAGTGGAAGAAGCTCTAGGAACATGCCTTCTGCCATCATTACAGTTGGTACCTGCAAATCCAGCAGTTGGACATGAGATTTGGGAAGTGATGAGTCTCCTTCCATATGAGGTTGACTTGATACTGTTTGTTCGTTCCAAATATTTTGATGTAGAACGTGATTGTCAATCTTACTGATTAATTTTATATTAGGCTCGTTATCGCTTATATGGTGAGTGGGAAAAGGACGATGAGCGGAATCCTTTGTTGTTGGCAGCAAGGCAAGTGGCAAAGGTATACCAGTATGACTTCTTTGACCAGTTATTCTCTTATAATACAAATGGAATTATACATCCTTCAGATCCTCAGGAGACTATTCTCGTATGTCAGTTGGATACTAGAAGAATTCTGAAACGGCTTGCAAAAGAAAATTTGAAGCAGTTAGGAAGGATGGTGGCAAAACTAGCTCATGCCAATCCCATGACGGTGCTTCGGACAATTGTAAATCAGGTGTCGATCTACTACAAACTGTTGCGTTGCTTTTATTTCTGTAATCGAATTGTTCAGATGGAGCTAACTGTCAGGTTCTTGTTACAACAGATTGAAGCATACAGAGATATGATTGCTCCTGTTGTGGATGCCTTCAAGTACTTGACACAGGTACGTGACGCCTTTTGTATGACATGCTCTTATTCACCTTATGCCCTTACTCTCCCATGTTTTCTGTTTAGTTGTTCTAAAAAAAGTAATTTTAATGAGGTAGACGGATGGACTTTTTGCCAGTGCCTTGTTTTCAGAGTGCAAAGTAAAGCTAGTTTCTTTTGAGTGATTATGATTTGGCTATGTATGTTTTCTACTGATAGATCTTACACGTTCAGCCTACATTCACTCTGGGGTAGGTTTAAAATGTGGGATATGGAGATTTTTTGGTTTGGTTATACATGAGCTTCTGAAGTAGGCAATGATGAAGTGAGATAGTCATTGAAAATTAGGATGCAATCAGATTGATCCGAATATTCTAAGATTTTTTTTTCAATAAATGTTTCTATTTATTGTTCTAGTACATTGAGGCGGTCTGTCATGTGTTTCTTTTTTTCCTGGCTTCGTTCTTGCAACAATCTTTTGTTTGCTAAGTTACCTGAAGTCAGCTTTCCTTTTCAATTCATTGTTGTTTTTGAGATGTTTCGCCCTCTGTTATGCACACTCTGATGCTTCCTAAACTATTTCTGATGCACAGCTTGAGTATGATATCTTGGAATATGTCGTGATTGAGAGACTGGCACAAAGCGGACGAGATAAACTTAAAGACGACGGGATTAATTTATCAGACTGGCTTCAATCTTTGGCATCATTTTGGGGTCATCTGTATGTGTTCTTCTTTGGAAACATTAATACAGGCTATAAATAGTTTCAGTACTCATTTAGAGAGATAGTTGATTGCTATGGGTGTTTCACTGTGCCTGCATATTTCTGTTATGCCGAGGGTAGAAAAGAAAAGTGCAGTATTATTTTAGTGTAAAACTGTTGTAGGAATGATTGCATTTCTGATGTTTAAAACCATTGTGGTTACTTGGTGACATCTTCTTCCATTTGGTACCGTTTCTCTATCTTTGTCCTTGATTGCCATTAGAATATTGCCATTCTGCCAACAGTTTTACTGCAAGATGCACATATATTTTTTTTTCAAAAAGTAGTAAAAGCTGTACTGCCATCTTTGTGGAATGTCTTCGTAAACTATATCATGTTTTCCAGGTGTAAGAAGTATCCATCAATGGAGTTAAGGGGTCTTTTCCAGTATCTCGTGAACCAGTTAAAGAGGGGCCAAGGGATCGAGCTTGTTCTTCTCCAGGTACCCTTTTGGTTTGTATTCCCAAATTCTTATGATTCAACTTATTCAGACTAATTGTGGCTGACTGTAATTTCATAATGACTGTAGGAACTGGTCCAGCAGATGGCAAATGTACAATACACTGAGAACCTTACCGAAGATCAGTTGGATGCCATGGCAGGAAGTGAGACTTTACGTTATCACGCAACATCCTTTGGCATGACGCGAAACAACAAGGTTTGTCTTTTGAGATCCTCAAAATTCAAACCCTTATTGTGAATAGCGTTCGCTGCGGCAGAATAAACCAATTTAAAAATAAATAACTTATTGAATCTTGAAAGAGCCAAGCGTTGGTCCTTACCATAAGTGTTTTTATTTGCTTACTGTTGTAAGAGAAAATTGAAGATGTTGTGAGCTTGAGATTTGGGTTCTTTATTTTCAGTAATCTGAACGAAACTACCTGATTTGGCCATTTTCAAGCTTGATCCCCTACATCTCCGTTTTATTTATGCATTTGCATGCATATATGTTCTTACAATATGTGAAGGGTTGTGGAAAATTTGTTTTGATTTGAAGTCATTCATTTAGAATGTCTGGTCTTGTAAGAAATGCTTTTCATTTAACTTCTCTTCTATACTTCTTTAGATGCTAGGCTCTGTGTAGATAAAAACAAATGTGCTTGCGATAGTGGCATTGGTGTTGATAAGTTTGTTTATTTACCTCGGAGATCATTGAAGTATCTTAGTTCTTAAACATTTCTGATTCATCTTCGTGGTTTTTTCAGGCACTTATCAAATCATCAAACCGTCTGCGAGATTCGTTACTTCCAAATGATGAACCAAAGTTAGCTATCCCCCTTTTGTTACTTATCGCCCAGCATCGTTCTCTGTAAGTTGACAAATCTGGACACTCAAAATTGTTTTGACATTTAGAAGTGTGCATTAATTGTTTGCATGGAACATACACGTCTTTACTGGAGCAGGATGCATACGTTTCTACATCACTATACCTGGAAACATAAATTGACACGGAAAAGGAAATTGGTGTCTAAAACATCTATAAATACTGTACATTGTTTTATATATTTTGGTGTGACTACGGACAATGTTCCTATCTCTAAATTGAGTATTGTGCAGTAGTCTTATTTGTTTAGTCAACAAACCATGATGTTCGGGATTTAGTCTATTATAATGTAAACTTCCTGATATGCAGAGTTGTGGTGAATGCGGATGCACCATATATTAAGATGGTCACTGAACAGTTCGACAGATGTCATGGAATTCTTCTCCAATACGTAGACTTCCTTTCTAGTGCTGTCAGTCCGGCTACTGCTTATGCTCGGCTGGTACCTTCGCTTGATGAGCTTGTTCACACATACCATCTCGAACCAGAGGTCTCGTGATCATTCTTTTCTTCATTCCTTGTTCTCTACCCTTGTGTTTGCCTCACTCTTCAACAATATGGATTTCATGACTTTAACTTATGTATTTTTAGTCTAGATCGTTAGCTACTATTACCGCCTTTTTGTGTTTACTTCTCTGCATTTTGAAACCAAAACTTATGTTATAAATCCCATGCCAGGTCGCTTTTTTGGTATTTCGCCCTGTGATGAGGCTCTTCAAGTGTCGACGGAATGGTGATGTTTCATGGCCTTTGGATAGTGGGGAATCTATGGATGCGGATTCTGAAATATCAGAGTCTGAGAGTTCCATGATTCTCGATGTCGGTGCATCTGAAAAAGCTGTAAAGTAAGATTTCAACTCAACCTGTATAGTATACTTGGTTGATTCACAACACTCTGTACTCTTTTTTTATGATATCTATTTGTAGTTTCAAATAGTCTCTTTCTAAAGATTTGAAGTGATAAGAATTAGTTATTTAATTGCATTACAAGTAGATGCTGATCTATTGGAGTTTCTCTCGCTGTTAAATAATCAGTTATTTAAGTGCATTTAATTACTTCATCATTGTGTTTGCAGGTGGTCTGATGTTCTTGATACAGTAAGGACAATGCTGCCCTCAAAAGCTTGGAATAGTCTATCGCCAGACCTCTACGCTACGTTTTGGGGGCTTACACTTTATGATCTCCATGTTCCCAGAAATCGTTATGAGTCTGAGATATCTAAACAGCATGCTGCTCTTAAGACACTTGAAGAGGTTGCTGATAATTCTAGTTCAGCAATTACCAAGAGGAAAAAAGAGAAGGAAAGGATTCAAGAGTCTCTTGATCGTCTAACCGGTGAACTGAAAAAGCATGAAGAACATGTGGCTTCTGTCCGTAGAAGGCTTTCACGTGAAAAAGATACATGGTTGAGCTCCTGTCCTGATACTTTGAAGATTAATATGGAGTTCCTGCAACGTTGTATTTTCCCTCGTTGCACATTTAGCATGGCAGATTCTGTGTACTGCGCGATGTTTGTACATATGCTTCACTCTCTTGGAACACCCTTTTTCAACACTGTCAACCACATTGATGTACTGATTTGTAAAACGCTGCAACCAATGATCTGCTGCTGCACTGAATATGAAGTTGGAAGACTTGGGAGGTTTTTGTTTGAGACCTTAAAGATTGCATACCACTGGAAGGTCACTATTAAAAAAAATATTTTTCTTTGACGATGGAAGTATAGAATCAGGGTTTTCTTTCTAACCTAGTTTCTAATGTTGTTGTTGTTTCTAATCTTTTCTCAGAGCAAAGAATCAGTCTATGAGCATGAGTGCGGAAACATGCCAGGGTTTGCTGTTTATTATAGATACCCTAACAGCCAGCGTGTCACATTTGGACAATTTGTGAAGGTTAGAAAATCTGATCCTTGACTTGTATTTCTATGTTACTTCTAGTGATATAAACTCTATAACTGTCTCAAGTATCCTTGTTCGTTATTATTTAGTATTCGTAGTTATGATAAGCCACATGTAGAAGTGCATTTGAATACATTTCTGGAAGTATTAATGGTTAACTTGAAGATCTTTCAATAGCTGAGAGGTAATCACCTAGAAACTTTGATGTACGGACGAAAAAGGAAATTTCAGTTTTAAATGGGAGTTTAGGGTGAAGTGAAACTAAGGGGTTGCGTATGAAGAATAATTTGTATGATATACGATTAGTGGCTGAAGCCAGTCAGTCAAGAGTTTGTTTACACCATCTCTTCTGTAGTCAAGTTATGAGTTACTTACAGTGCATGTTCTCTGTATTGGGATTTAAGCTCGCTAGTTCTTTCATATCTCTGTCGTTCAGTCGGGTTCAAAACAACTTGTAGATTACTATAACTATTTTTAGGTTTTTCTTAAGAAAAAAATAATGACATGTAAGACTCTGATACTGTTTGAACTAACGGTTGTTTAAATGTGGGTTGGACGTTCAAACCTTTTTATATTGATTTATTGAAATTCTGGCATGACGCCTATAAAAGTAGTTATATACCTTTTTTGTTTTACGGAACTGCAGTGCTTCTGGTCAGTGATTTTTGATATTTTCCATTTCATCTGTGGATATTTTTTCCCTATGTAATTGTACAGTATGTAGCTATCACGTGTTCTGCTTTAGAAACTGGTAACAAAGTCTTGTTCCTTCTGTGTTTCATGTCTGTTTCATCTGTTGATCTCTCTGAAAGGTACATTGGAAATGGAGTGGAAGAATCACACGGCTTTTGATCCAGTGTCTGGAGTCTAATGAGTATATGGAGATTCGTAATGCCCTAATTATGTTAACAAAAATATCTGGTGTTTTCCCAGTTACTCGGAAAACTGGGATAAACCTTGAGAAACGGGCAAGTACCTCTTTACTAGCTAGTCTTATGAATCTGCTTTTAATTAGTGTGATTTCTATCTTTTCCTGTGTTTTCTTTGTGAAAAGATTAATGTTTCCTTTCGTTGGTGGTCTGGTCTTTTAGGTAGCCAAGATTAAAAATGATGAGCGAGAGGACCTTAAGGTTCTAGCAACTGGTGTTGCCGCTGCTCTGTCTGCAAGAAAAGTGAGTACTAACCATAGCAATTTCAAGTTCAGGGTTTTATGCAATTTCACTGAATGTCGTTTATTTGCAGCCACATTGGGTTACAGACGAAGAATTTAGCATGGGCTTCCTTGAACTAAAGGCTCCGCCAGTACATACTCCAAAACATGCCTCTTCCCATGCTTCTTCCCAGAATGGCTTGTTAGTTGGTGTCTCCCAAGGTGAACCAACTGGGGAAAGAGCTACTATTAACCAGCAGCCTGAGTCTGGTGGATTGGGCAAGGACCAGATGTTGAAAACTAAACCTCTAGATGGAAGAACGGAAAGTATACCTTCAAAATCTGATCAAGGACATCTAAAATCAAAGGGTGGCAATCCATTGGATGCCCAACCTACCATGTCTAGGAAGTCAATGGAACAAAAGGAAACAGATGAAACACCCCGAATACCTGATGAGAATCCTGTCAAAGCTCCTTCTAAGTATTCTGAAGCCGAGGTATGGCTGTATTATTTATTCTCTTTTATTTGTTAAGTTAACAACCCCTACTTTATTTAGAAACCCAAATTTGTCACTAGCAAATGTTCACAGAAATTATTTAGCAAATTTATACTGCCCATTCTATCTTATTTGTTTTGGTAGAGCCAATTCTACTTTTTTGACAATTCGTTTTCTAAAGGACTGATTTAGAAGAAGTGATGATTAGAAATTATATTTGGGGTTACCGTGTCACGTGGGCCCTGGGTTGTGAGTGAGAGCGCTAAGTTCAGTTATTTTGATCCCAAGATGATGAAATATGCTACAATGTACACTCTTCGCCTTCACCTCAATCTACTCCCCCTTTTTATGTTGGAAATTGGTGGCTGAAAAAGTTCAGTTAATTAGCAATTCAGGAAGTTCTTGGGCTCTAACTTATGTATAATTATTTTTGGCTGGCAGTTGAAACCTTCCTCTAAACGAAGTGCATCGGTGAACAAATCTACAAAGCAAGATTTTGGAAAAGATGATGGAAAGTCCGGTAAAGCTGTTGGAAGAACATCCACAGCTGACAAAGATCTTATTTATCTGGAGAGCAGGCAATCAGGTTTGACCAAAGCTCTTTCCAGCACAGCAGCCAATGGTAGCATAGCTACTGGGTCGTCCAAAGGTTTGTTCTCACCCACAAAACTATTAGATATTCGTGGAAGCTAATGTAAGTTGGATGGACTTGTCAGTTGTCAGGTATTCTGACTTTAATTTCTGATGCAGTAAAAGATGATGGTGCTGAAGCTTTGGATGCACAAAAGCAATCTTCTCGGACTGTTCATTCCCCTAGGCATGAAATTGTCACTTCTGTGAGATCGAGTGATAGGTTACAAAAACGAACTAATGCTGTTGAGGATAGTGAAAGAATAAGTAAACGTCGTAAAGGAGATGCTGAGCACAAAGAGCATGACAGTGAGCCTCGATCGAGTGACCGAGATAGATCAGCAGAGGCTCGATTGGATTTAAACAAAACAGTTACTGATGACCAAAGCACCCATAGGGATCAAGATAGATCAAAGGATAAGGGTTATGAAAGACAGGATAGAGAGCACAGAGAAAGAGTTGATCGTTCTGATAAACCTCGTGGAGATGATGTTGAGAAAGCACGAGACAAATCCTTGGAACGTCATGGAAGAGAGCGCTCAGTTGAGAAGGGTCTAGATAAAGGAACAACTAGGAGTTATGATAGAAACAAGGATGAAAGAAACAAAGATGATAGAAGCAAACTGCGTCATAGTGAGGCATCACTTGAGAAATCTCATCCTGATGATCATTTTCATTCTCAAGGTTTACCCCCACCTCCACCTTTACCTCCTAACATCGTTCCACATTCTATGGCCGCGAAAGAAGATCTCGAAAGAAGGGCTGGAGGTGCAAGGCATTCTCAGAGGCTTTCCCCGAGGCATGATGATAGAGAGAGACGACGCTCTGAAGAGAATTTATCAGTTTCTGTGGATGATGCAAAACGTAGAAGAGATGACGATATTCGGGACCGAAAGCGAGATGACCGAGAAACAATCACTGTGAAGGTATAGCTGCTCCCTCTATACATATTAAGAACTGCAGAATATCAGCAGTAGCTGCATCTTCATGGTTTTGTTATCTTATCTACTTTTATGTTATGGTAGTTCGTTTCTGATTTCTTGAAGTGATTTTTTGTTTGACAGATTTGATTAGTTTTTATCGTTAAAAAGAGAAACTCGATGGAGTGTTTTCCGTAGTGATCTCCCTGTTTGACCATATGAAAAAACATCTTATCTACTCTATGCAGGGAGAAGAAAGAGAAAGGGAAAGAGAGAGAGAAAGAGAAAGAGAAAAGAGCCTCCCTTTGAAAGATGATTTTGAAGCCTCCAAGAGAAGGAAGCTTAAGAGGGAGCAACAGGTCCCATCTGCAGAGCCAGGAGAATACTCTCCTATGCCACATCAATCGTCTTTATCGACTGGTATGGGACCATCATCGTACGAAGGCAGAGAGCGGAAGAACAGTAGTATGATTCAACACGGAGGCTATCTTGAAGAGCCAAGCATCAGACTTCTTGGAAAAGAAGCTTCCAGCAAGATGGCTCGTCGTGATCCTGACCCGTATCCTTAAAATAAAAAGAGCCCCGTTACCAACTTATATAATCTCTCTGGTTGAGTTTGCATCATGAATCAAACCCTTATATGATGCATCATTGAATGGTCTCTTCAGAGTTGCAATTTCCTTGACCTTGGTATAGAATGTATGACCGTGAATGGGAAGACGACAAGAGGCAGAGAGCAGAGCGGAAGCGGAGAGATCGGAAGTAGAGAGTGATGATTCGCAGATCCTTTGGTTTGTTCAATGAAGAGAGAGACAAATGCCTGGTATTGAACACTGCTGCTTTTGTTGTACACATACTATTCAATGACCATGCGGGTCTACTTTGTCATTTGGCTCCGCCGAGTTTGATAAAAATGACTTTCAAGACTTCAGATATATTCATACCAATTGACCTATTCGAAATTTTCAGATTTATGTCGGAGCTTGTAAACTGTAGCTAGCCAGGGAAATTTATAGTGTAACAAATATCAAAAAAAATTTTGGGGTTCTCTATTGTTTTAAAACAGTGTGATAAAACGTATGAATCAGATAAAAGTCATCGAACGTCGGTGGAGCAAAAAACCTAATTCTCTCCCACCTCTCTCCTCTATCAAACTAAAAGCCGCCGTCTTGTTCTCGGCCAACGTCCGGTGGCTTTACAGCCCCGGCGTTGTGCCGCGTGTGTGTTTTTAGTTGTTTTTTTCTTCTTTCTTTAGTTTCGTTCTCATCGGCTTTGTAGTTTTCGAGTGGTTTTGGCTTCTCTCGACGAGATCGGAGGCGGAGTTACTCTGGTTCAAGGTGTAGTTCCGTTAAAGCTTTCGGAGTTTCAGTTGTCTTGCTCGATCTACCTCTTGTGTTAGGTTCCGTTTCGCCTTGGATTCGTTTTCTATTGCTGTTTTGTCGGAGTCTCGCTCTACCATTGAAGATCCTGATCTGGTCTGTCGCGGTGGTCGATGGTGCTTGTCGGAGTGGGTTCTTATATGGGGATGGTGATGTTGATTTCTAGACTGGTAATTGATTTCAATCTCTTCAAGTCAAGCTTGTTTGGTTTATCCCCGGTTTGCTTGATGGTGGCCTTAGTTATTGTTCGTGTCTTAGTTTGTGGGTTAGTTGCTCTGGATAGCGGTTTCTCCTCCTGATTGTTTTTGAATTCTCAGAGTCTTACTTTTGTGGGGTTTTTGTCTGTTCTGTGGTTGGATCTTGTTTGAGTGAAGTTTCGGTTCTGGCCATTGTTCCTCTGCCTTGGTGTTGTGTTTTGTATCGAATGTCCTGGAAAATCTCTCGTGTGGTGAGACGGACTCGATGCCTTTTGCCATTGGCTCTTTGCTCATCTTCCTTGGCTGGTTCTTCTGTCTCATCAAGATTTGCTTCGTTTGGAGTTCGTGGGTCGCTATTTTGCCATCATATGCGGTATCTCTTCCACTTGAGTTTATCGTCTTCTCGGGGTTGGTTTGGAACGTTTAATACTACCCAAAGCTCTATCAATTCTTTCAGCAGAGAGAGGAGCTATTCATGGGTTTTGATTCGGTTCCTCTCCACAAGACAAATAAGGCATTTGTGCGTCGATCCCTTAGCTTCAAGTTCAGGCCTTTTCCTTTGAGATTCTTGTGTTTTCTAGTTAATTCAATCTTTAGAGGTTTATCGATTAGTTTTCTAAGTTTAGCTTATGGTCTTGTATTTGGTTGTTTGTTAGCTTCCCTCTTTTGGACTTTTGGCTTCGGGGATATCACTATTTTCCGCCGACTCATCTTATCGGGGATATTAACTCTTTCCGCCGATCTTTGTATCTTTCGAAGGTTTAATATGATTATTCAGACAAAAAAAAAAAAAAAACGTATGAATCAGATTGACACAATACAAATGATCCATTAATAGCCTTTGACCTGCTCACTTATTTAGCTAAACAATGAAATACTTTATGGTGGAATCTCATTATGACAAATGGAAATGAGAAAGAACATATTACAATCTTTGGCGATATGTGGACTGGTAATTTTGATTATTCACTTTCCGTACCAAATTTTTTTCACTAAATCACATTCGATACAAAAAGGTTTCATTTAGGGATCCATCTTTCACACACTTTTTTTGCATAATCAAACCTATGGCTTACTCTCATTTCGATCCTCTCATACCAATCCTATGTGGTGAAGGCAGACTAATGTAGACTGCAATCCAATAATTAATTCATTTCTAATAATATCAAATTATTGAATTAGACTCAATTAATGTAACAATACCTTCTGTGTCATTCATCCAGTTGTATACCAAAGGCAGAGATTAGTTATCATTACAGATTTCAATTTCTTAATCAAAAGATTATTATCATGAAGAGCTTCAATTCCCAAAGTTATCAAATTTTCCTAACTTGCTAATTCCCAACAGTTTCTTTGCTGAATGTGAGACTCGCATCCAAAAATCTAAAACCAAGCTCATTCTTATGGCGTCACATGAATTTTTATACGAGATTTTTGTTCATAACTTAAAATAATCACGAACAAACAAAAAAAAAAAGGGATTTTCATAGAAATAACTCTTCAGTTCAGGTCTCCAATTTTTTCAGCATATTTATATCTCAGGAGAACGAAAGTTTTATGTTTTGACATCATCAGAGTTTACCCACACAAAAAAAAAAAACACTCAAACAAAAAAAAATATCTCGATTTCTAAAAACAAATCAGTAAAACTAAAAAAAAAAAAAGAAGAAGATGAAATTGCCTCAGCTCAGTTCAGGTCTCCATAATTTCTCCGCATGATAAATCTCGGAAGAACGAAAGTTATGATTTGATCATCATCGGAGGCAATTTCCAACATAAACTCTAAAAGACATCCATAGTTTTCAAAAGAATTTTATCAAAACGAAAACAGTGATACGCGTTAAAAATCAACAAAGAGAAAAGAAGACAAAGATAATTTTAAACGACTAAAATGATCGATGATGGTACTAATCTCATAGCTACGCTATTTATATGGGAGGCTGAGTTGCGGCGAGTAAACCCTAGCTCTATCTTTGACTGTATGGGCTTTTATTGGGTCTTTGTTATTGGATCTTTCAAAATCAGCCCATTAGTTTTCCTATTATTTCAATTGTTTAATAAGATAATAATTACAAGTGTATATGCATTTAGGATTTCGATCACCGATTGTAATATCTCGCATGGGATTATTGTTTAAAATGCTTTTTTTTGGGAAAAACTTACGAAAATGCCCTTTTTTGAATAGTTTACGGATTTTGCTTTTTTTTAACACTTAAAAATGTACGTATTTAGGATTTTTTTTTCCAAAAATACGTACTTTATACCAAATACTAAACCCTAAGAACAAATGGAACCGACTAAACCCAAACATAACGAGTGAAACGCATGTTAAATCATATTTTTGGAGCATGAAAAAGGGTAAAATACATAAACTATTCAAAAAAAGACAAAATCCATAAATGCCCTTATAAAAAATGACAAAATCCGTAATTTATTCATCTCGCATTGTGGAAAAATTAGTGGTGTATGAAAAAGATTTTTTAAAAATAAAAAAAATAAATAACAGTGCGATCAAAGATGTCTTGATATTGACAGTACAATCAAAATGTTTCAATCATAAAAAAAATAAAAAAAATGAACACACCTGTCGAGCTGTTGATATCATTACTAGGCCACTACTATTTTAAGATTCTCTTTAAAAAGAGTAATAGAGACATATGTTGTTCATTGGGGTTACAAAGCTTTTGAAGTTGAAGGCATCTCGAGAGAGAGAGAGAGAGACAAAGAGAGCTCTATGGAGAAGAAACTGCTTCCGCCTAAAGGGATTCTCAAGAGCGAGGCTCTCAAAAAGGTCTTTTAATCACTTTTTTAGAGTTTTCTCTCTACTTAATGAGATTTGTTAGGATCCAAACTCTTGCAAATTGATCTGCAAAATTTTAACTTACTTTAGTCTGATGAGATCAATCTTTATCGTTTAAATGATTAAGATATTCTTTGATTGCCTAAATCCGAACCAAACACATATAATATATACGGTTGTGGTTGTGAATGAAATCTTTGTGATTCATGAGACAGTACATCTTTGAAACGACGGCGTATCCTAGAGAGCATGAACAACTCAAGAAATTACGTGAAGCTACGGTCCTCAAGTATGGCAATTTGTAAGTGTAGCTGCAACCTCTATTATCCATATTTTGCAAGTATAAGATCATACTCTTTAAATCCTAAATATGCATCATGTACCTTGTACTTCCACTCGCATAAGTAAATTTGTTTGTTCTTTTCTTTCAAAAATAAACATTTTAGTAGCAGCTTAGTGGTTTGTGGTATAGTCGTAAAATTAATCGAATCGAATAAATTCAAGGATTATACTAATAATGAAAAAAAATGATTTGTGTTTGTATGCGTAGAAGCGAGATGGAGGTGCCGGTGGATGAGGGGCATTTCCTATCGATGCTTATAAAGATAATGAATGCCAAAAAGACGATAGAGCTTGGTGTTTTCACCGGTTATTCGTTACTCACAACTGCCCTTGCATTGCCTCATGATGGACATGTATGTACACAACACTCCATAATTTACCAAAATCAAATAAAGCAAAACTTATAAGAGCTAGTATCTATGAACAGATTACTGCAATAGACATTGATAAAGAAGCTTACGAGGTGGGACTAGAGTTCATCAAAAATGCAGGTGTTGATCATAAGATCAATTTCATCCAATCTGATTGTCTTCAGGCCTTAGACAAGATGTTGAGTGTACGTAATTCATTATTACTACCAGTCATTTATCCCTTTTCTTTTGATATTACCAATTATTTTTTCTTAATTTGATTTATGAATGATGATGGAGCACAGGAGAATCCAAAACCAGAGTTTGATTTCGCATTTGTTGATGCTGATAAACCAAACTATGCAAACATGCACGAGAGACTAATGAAGCTGGTGAAGGTAGGAGGAATCATAGCGTTTGATAACACATTGTGGTTCGGGTTTGTGGCGGAGAAAGAGGAAAACGTGCCAGAGCACATGAGGATGAACAGAAAAGCCTTTTTGGACTTGAACAAGCAGCTCGCTGCTGATCCTCGCATCGAGCTCTCTCAAGTCTCCATTGGTGATGGTGTCACTCTCTGTAGACGCCTTGTATGATTAAGAGACTCATCAAAATATCAAATGTTTCTTGGTTTTGTTTGGTTTGGGATTTGAATTGTCGAGTGCTTGTTGTGATGTGATTTGATCACATATATAAAAATCGTATATCATATATCAGCAAACCCAAAATACAAACGAATAAATCACACAAAGAGTGCAATAGAGTAACAAACAAATAAGGAATCAAGAGGTACACAAGCTCTAGAGAAGCCAATACCAAAGCTCTCTAACCTATAGAGGTACACAAGCTCTAGAGAAGCCAATACCAAAGCTCTCTAACCTATACACCCAAAACAAACTAACTTCCGAAAAAAGGAGACGAAAATGTTAGCCAAAATGTCAACATCTCTCTCTCTCTTCCTCGGCTTTTCTTCTCCTCCCTCTAACCAACTTTAACACCAAATCTATGTCACAAACTCTCTCTCTCTTTTCTTTTTTTACTAGGTTATAGGATGGGATTATCAGCATGCTAAGTTATATATGGTGATACAACCAATCACATGAGGTAAACAAAAAAAAAGCCATGATATAAGGTTAAAACAGCTTAATAACAAGAGCCTAGGACATTCTTTTACTTGTTATTTTCAGGAATCTCCACTCACTGGGTACTCTTCGTTAACCCACCACTTCGTCCAGCAGCTCTGCGCAAATCCAAATGCCAAATTCAGTTTCATTTCAACCAAACTGCCTATCAAACAACCTATAGTTCTATGGAACAAAACTCTGAGAATTGTATCGTAAACTATAAAGGGATGATGATTCGCCATGAAATGCACGATACAAAGTGAAAACGTAGATAGATATACCTTCCCGCAAGAATCTGGGCGGTGTTGGAAGGGCTCTTGCTATTTGAAAACCTTTTGGCTCTGGCGTCCTGATCTTTCTCCACACGCATTGCAGCAACTTCTTTTTCCATCGCAGCTACTTCCCGTCTCATCTTCTTTGCTTCAACCTCCATGGCCTTTGTTAATGTTTCCACCTTCTTCGCTAGCATCTACAAACATCAAATCATCATTACTTCCTCTGTTTACAACCAGCATGTTCTTCTTTAAATAAGATTTATATGGCATCAAGAAACAGAATTGTTACCTCAATGGCATCATCTTTGTCTTTGAGGCTTTGATCCTTTTCATTAGAGGCTTTCCTCAAAGAAACTACTTCTTTCTGTAGTAAATCATACAAGACACCTGGGACACTGTCCTCAGTTGTTGCTTCAGGGTCTTCACTTTGTGGCTTTTCCTCTGAATTTTCTTTCCACCCATTTCCCGACTCTGCTTCCTTAGAGTCATCAGTAGCCTTGTTGAAGGAATAATTCCCAGGGCCGTTTAAAAGTGCTTTGCCTCTATCCAAGGATCTTGTGCCTCCATCAAATGACTTAGATGTTCCTTTAGCATTCTTCAACACAGAAGTTGAATTAATAGACAAGGAATGTCTCATCTGAGAAGCTGGAGCTTTCTTTGATAAAGCACCGTTTGATGGAAATTTTTGTAAGTTTTCAGCTCCACCAAGTGACTGCCTGCGAGAAGGTCCATTACTCATGCTTCTTGCCTCGGGTGTGTTTCTGGTGCTGCTGCTTGATGTTCCTCGAAGTGTCTCCTCAAGCACTTTAAGCCGCAGTTGAAACTTTTCCTGGAATTGCACAAACAAAATATATTACTTCTTGTTCTGTGTAACAAGATCATCTGAAAGAAGCTGAATAATGGATAAGATTTATTACTTTCAACTGTGCTTCTGATTTAGCAGCCCGGTCTGTTATGGCGAGTTTATCGCGTAGTTGCTGCATTTCTCCCTGCAAAAAGTTGAGGATCTAGAAGTGAGAATGTAGATATGGATGGGCCTTGCTCACTGCAAATAATTTGCATCCTAAGAATCTAGGAGAGGGGCCATCATATCAAAGTAAACCTGTAGAAACCTTCGTTCTTCGAGCCATTGCTTCACAGGCATCACTTTATCATTACCATCTTTCCACTCATTTGCTACCACAGTGGCCACTCTGTTTGCTGTAACCTTTGCACGTGCAAGCTCCCGATCAAGAGTTTTCCGTTCTTCCTGAAAGACAAAACAAGAATAATTCCTACATCAATAGGCAATTGTTGTGACAAGAAACTAGATACTCTATGCTCTTGTGAAGTGTGTTTAATTACATTCATCTCTTGAAATTTCCGCTGGTAATCCCTCACGGCATTTGCAGCAGCACCACCTGCAAGAACAGCCTCTTCCAGCTCTCGTACTGTCTGAGTAAGCTTTTCCACTTCAGCAACCTTCTGCCTGTGCATTCTGTCTAGAATTTTGTTTTCTTCCTAAAACAGAAAACAAAATTAATCAGATTGTTGGCAAACGGCGTGCGACGAGCGGATCCATAGATTTAAGTAAATACAAAGAGCAAGATGACGACCACAGAACCTGACAGATCTCTATTTGTTTCATAAGCTCCTGGTTCTTATTCTGAAGATCATCAACCATGGCGGCTTTTGCCATGGCAGCTTCAACGGTCCTCTCAGCTTCAAGTAAGGCAGCTTCCTTTGATTTAGTCAGACGGTCCAACGCCCTGTTATCTTCTTGAAGCTTTCCAATCTACACAGATACAAGGGACTTGATCAGTGACCTCATCAGAGACAGCAAGCAATTAGACTTTAAATGGCGATGTAAAAATACCTCTGATCGTGCAAGCTTAAGTTCAGCTTCTAATGGAGCAAGGATGGCTTCAATCGGAGGCATGTCATCATCCTTTTGAGCAGCATGGACCCTTCTTAAGGTGGCTTCAGCAGCAAACTGAGCAGCCATTGATGCCTTCTTTTCCTCATTGATTTTCTTGATTTCTAGATTCTGCAACACAGTTGATATCATATGCGTATTAGCATAACAAATGAAAGGTGAACATAATCGAACCAAGGAAAGATTATCGAACAATACTTTGCTTTCGAGAATGGATTCGGTCAACTTGAGCTTCTCATCCAACTTAGCAAGCTCCTCAGTAAGCTAAAATTACAAAAAAAAAAAGTCAATCCAAGAGAAGCCTAAACTCTCACCTGCAACAACTTCTGCAAATCTCTGACAGTAACAAGAAGTCAAGATCAAACACATAATGCAATCATTGATCAAAACTAAAAAAGGCACAGTTAAATTCTGAATGCTCTCCAACCACATTGCCCCAAATACCACACTACGATAAATGCACCTGAACCATTCATGAAAAATTATTTCTTCAACTACTTGGATTTTTTTGTGGTGAAATAAAAGTAACCACAAAACTCAGATGTGAAATTCATCAACCATTATGTGATTGGTTGAACCTAAAAATGGAGAGATTAATAATCTTCCCTAAGAATTGCTAAATGTGAATTTTATCAACCATTATTGTGATTGGTTGAGAGAATATACCAAAACATCAAGAAATGATTAAACTTGCTTAAGAATTGCTAAAATGTTGAAATTGGGAAAATCCTCAGACAAAAATAGAAAAGATTCAGACACAAACCTCTTCAACAGCTTTCTCTCTTTGTCTCTCAGACAACCTAAGCGCTTTGATCTCAGCGTGTGCTTCTCCCAACTCCCGATCCTTATCTGCATCTCCCAATAAGATTACTTAGAAACCAAAATCAGAAACCGAATCGACACAAAATCAAATAGATCGAGCAGCATTATCAAACCTCTAACTTCATTCTCTAGTCGATTAAGCTCCACTTTCACTGGATCCGAACCATGAAGCAAAGTAATAAACTCATTATCAGCCGCAGCGTCAAAACTCGGCCTAATTGGTCTCCGCTTCGACGAGCTTTTACCTCCGCCGCTCTCTTTATAAGACGCGGACACCGTCAGTGACGGATACGTCGCCGAAGAAACCGGCGGTTGTGGAGTTACTTCATGTTCAGTAACCGTCGCCGATACATCTCCGTCACCGGAAACATCCGACATCTCCGATCTGATCCTTTGGATAATATACAAAAGCACTTCCAAATCCAAATGCGAGAGAGAGATTGTTTGAGAAAAAAAAAAAAAAAAACTCTTTTTTTGGTTTTGCTTAAGTGAGAGAGAAGAGAGATTTATAAATAAATGCAGTTACAGTTGTTTTCTTTTTCTCTCGGTCTATTAGATTTGACAAGACAGCGAGAGATGATGACGCAAGATTTGTATTAATTAATTAATCCATGATCTTCTTCTTAAACACTAACTTCAAACATGTTACTTTTTCTGATTAGTCAATTAACTAATTAAGTAAGCAAATTGAACTAGTAGTACTATGTTTTCTACTATTTTTCTTTAGTAGCTTAAAGTGAATTTTGTCGCTTGGATCTCTTCTAATATTGTTTTTGAAAAGTTAATTCTTGGTCTGCTGTGTTATCTATATTAAAGAAATAATTAATACAAAGTAATAAATCTGAGTTTTTTGTAGTAGAAAATTAGTTGAATTTTTATTGACTACAGCATCCATTTTGTTCATTTAAAGTGTTGATGTCATGGAATTCTTTCTGGTGTTTTTGTAATTTATTTAGTTAGTTGTGAATTCATCTTTTGATTGATTGTAAATTTGTAAGGTATATAATTAATTATTGCGGATAAAATATGTTGACTTGGTCAATATGTTCAATTGTCTGATTATTAGTAAGAAAAAGGTATGATTAGTGAACATTAGATTTAGATGCTTTGCGCATGAAAAGAGGGAAAATGTTCCATGTCCCAAATATCTTTGTTTCACTTTTTCTCTTTTCGAGGGATAATGCTTCTTCTCTTTTTTCTCAAGTAAGGTTGGTTGGTTCTAACTTCTATATGTAAAAATTAATGGACAACAATAAGAAAAGTATATGAATCTTAACACCTATGACCTATTCTACTCATATTTTAGAATCCTATTCTTCAAGATCACTTGAGATTATTAGCCTAAGTTAGGAATAAATAGCTAAGCTATATGACTATTTTCATAAATATATTTGCTCAATAGAAGCATGTTTACCTTGTTGACGATAACACATTTGTTCAACCCATATAAAATTATATGTAGAATTTAGACATTGTTTCAGTTCTTTAACAAAAAAAAATGTTTTAAGTTATTTTAGCAAAGTGGTTAAATGCAAGTTATATGGGTGGATAGTTCGAATCAGTGCCGGCCCGCTAAATTTGAGTGCCCTAAGCAATATTAAAGTCCATAAAAAAAATTCTTTTAAATTAGATTTTTACCATTAAACAGAATGTTCTAAAGGCCTACAATATTTTTAAAAGGCCCTACAAAAATTATTGTATATAAGAAAACTTAACAAATTTTTAGGTAAAAAGACCCTCAAATTTTGAGACCCTAATCGGTGGCTTCGGTGGCTTGCCCTCTGCGCCGGCCCTGTCAAATGTATAAAAACAGGATAATGTCTGAAACTTTTCTTCAAATTTACAGAAGGAAAAATACTTTTTGTCCTTTTTCCCAGATACAAGAAGTACACATTAAGCAGCTTATACAATTAGATATTCCTCAAGTCGGAAATTCTGCAATCTTACTTAACCGATATTTTATTTAATCAGTATTCCGTACTCACATGCTTCCACTACAACGAGACCTGTCGATAAAATATAGATACATTAGAGTATTATACTATTATTAACATTCAAAAGTAACATAGACAACGACTACACTAAACTCAGTTTATATTTTCCAAAACTATTGCTAAAGAATATCAATACACTGGATTTAGAACTCGATCGGAATTAGGTACGTTGTGATAAATTTCAGCTATCATTAACTAGTTAATTGTAGTGTAATATGTGGACATTGGATTCATATAGAGTTATGCGGAAAGCCACGTTTCGTTTTAAGTTCTAATGTATCATGCGAATCTCAATGTCTACCAAATCCAAAAAGAACGAACGCATTTTGAATAGATGATAATATGTGCCACTTCTTTGCTATGCCTTGAAGAATCAGACAAAGCGAGTGGAGTCTAGCGACTTTGATCCTAATACAACTCCTTAATATATATATGCCTATCCTATCATTATTTCACAACGCATATATATTTACTTTTGTTAAAAAAGGTTGTAACGTAATTTTATGGGTTCCATTAGGATTGTCATTTATTTTCTACCTTATTGTGCCGAACAATTTGATTAAACGGAGCATAATCCTAAAGGAAAATAAAAGTAAATCTTTTTAGTTTTTTAATGGACTTTCAGTGTTCACACTTGATGATTTTGTTCGTCTCATGTCTCTCATCCTCTCTATACTCTGCAGAAATCCAAACACAAAAAAATCAACACTATGTGAATGTGAGCTGCAATTGTGTTGCTGAAAAGAGACCAAAAGCGAACAAAAGGTTACATCCTTTGCTTCAGAGAATTTTCGATTTTTTTTTATTTATTAATCATATGGTATAAGATAAATTTATTAAGTTAAGATATTGCACTTTTCACTAAGTAAATCAAACATTTTATAGTGAGGAGATGTGCCTTTAGTCAAGTGGTTAAGTCCATTTGACTCCGCCTTTCTTACCGGAGTTCGACTTCACTAAGTCGCGTTACTCCGCGTAGTAGAGATTGGCTATGGATCGGACCTTGTCGATCCAATGATGTCAAAAAAAAAAAAAATCAAACATTTTATAGTGATATGTCATAATGTGCATATTCCATTTTTTCGGCTCTTTCAATTTCCACTTTCTTCCACATTTCATGTATTGAAGATTGAAGAAAAAAAGAAAGACGCTTTTTAAAGGAACCAAATTAAAGACTTATGACTTGCCATAAAAGTAACTTAAATTGTTCGTCGCGTAAGCAGGGATCTATATAAACATGAAATACTATACCAAAACCCTAACCGACAATTAATAAAACGATGATGATGTTGGAACTTCCAGAGCATCTGTTAGAAGAAATACTCTGTCGTGTTCCAGCTATGTCTTTGAAACGGTTAGGATCTACTTGCAAAGGATGGAACCGTTTATTCAAGGATAGGAGATTCACAAGAATGCACTTGGATAAAGGCCCAAAGCAGTTTCTGATTCACATGTCCAAGGGGCTTAGGGTACGCTCGATGAGTGTCGATCTCCATAGACTTCCACATGTAAAGGTCACAGCTGAATTTAGCCTAACAAACCCTCAATATCCTCTAGATGAAGAATTCGAGATACATAAAGTCTCTCATTGCGACGGCTTATTGTTATGCGTCTGCATCACCAAGGAGGACAATACTAGGCTCGTGGTATGGAACCCGTGTACTGGTCAAACAAGGTGGATTCAACGAGAAAATTGTTATGACTTATACGACAACTATTCTCTCGGATCCTACCAAGATAAAAGATGCAACGATAATAGCTACAATATATTGGCACACACGGGTTTTGGCTATGACCACAAATTCCAAATTTATGAAATAAACTCCAATTCATGGAGGATTATTGATGCCACTTTCGACTTCAAATTAGAGTATATTGGTGAGGGCGTGTCTTTGAAGGGAAAGATCGACTTACTGGATTGTTAGTGGTGAAAAAGAGAAACGGCTTGGCATATTCTTAATAAGTTTTGATTATACAACAGAAAGATTTGAACGTCTACGTCTTCCGAATAAGTATCCTTGTTCTGCAACTCTGAGTCTTATCCATTGTTAGAGAGGAGAAACTTTCCATGTTATCACAACGCGCAATTAAATCAAAACCAGAGATATGGGTGACAAATAAGATTGGTGAGACCCAAGTGGTGTCGTGGACCATGGTCTTAGCTGTGTATTTGCAACCTGGACTTTGTATTTGGGATGGCGTAAGTTTCTGGGTCGACGAGAAGAAGAAAGTCGTCGTTTGTTGTGATAACCTTAAAGACCAAGGCAAAACCACGAAACACATTTTTGGAGAGGACAACAAAGTGAAACAAGTGGATTTTGAAGTCGGATCATCTTTGTCATGCATGTTTTATTATGTTCCAAGTTTGACTCAAATCTACCAAGGTATCACAGGCAAAAGAAAAAGAGACGAATGATCATTGTGTTTGGTGCGGTGGACATTCAAGCGGGAATATCATATGCTAAACGGAGAAAATTTATCTCTGTTTTTTTTTTTTTTTTCATAGTGCTTATGTGAGTTTGTCTCTTGCATTGTATAACTTTTCCGAGGTTTCACTTCGTCACTGTAGAAGCTCACTGTTAGAGTTCCCTAAATGTAAACAACAACACTCTGCTTCCTTTGTTTTTCAGTTTTTTAAGATAACATCATATATCGAATAACAGTTCACTTGCTGCTATCTTCCCCCCTTGCCCGTTTCCTAGACTGATGCGACTTCACAAACTCATCAATTCTCGCCTTCAAGTCAATGTCCGGTATCAACATATCCGTTGTCAAAGCTGCCCGGTTAAACGGATCGTGCTGCAGCAGAAACAAGAGGATCAGATCAAATCCATCGTCTTCAATAAGAGAGAGGAAATTAAAAATCACCAACGTCTTAGATCTGCTTACATTGCCACTAAGAAGATGACGTAGAATGATGGCTCGATCAACTCTGGTTTTTGAGCTTGGAAGTATCACTGGATCACTCATTAGTGTGTACTGCAATATTATAAACAAACAAGAACATGCACTAGAGAATGGTCCTGACTCCTGAAACAAGATTTAGTTTTCAGTCAAATTAGACAGAAAATACCTGAATTGGGTCGAAGAACTCCTCTGGTATTTCACCAAGTGAAACTTCAGAATCCATAGTTTCGGAAGCAGCAACTACGACTTTTGTATTGATCAAGACTATCTCATGCAGACTTGACCAGACTTGTATTGGCAAATTTATGCATAAGTAGATAATGTTGTCTTGACAGCCTTATGCTTAAGTGGGCCCTAAACAATGAAATCAGATTAGGTATAACCCTAACATATATATGTGTTGTTGTAAACAAAAAAGTTAAGAGAAGAGAAATAAAATCTTTCTCAGTCTTCTCCATACATTTTGTCACTGTTCATCATCCTCACAATCTTCACTTTTCTAAATTTTCATGTTCTTCATTTCAATCTCTCAATTCTATTACTTGCTTCATTCTAATTATGCATATTCTAACATTTTGTGCCCAACTCCCTTGACTCTTGAATGATTCTTCAATCGAAGTCTATTATGAGGCCCGACCTAAGTGGGTAGGGCAGAAGTGCTTGGGCCTAAGACTCATCAACCTTTTATAAAAAAATCTTAGACAAAATGGCCCAATTTTAAATATTTTTAAAATAAAACTCCAAAACAAATTTTAGTATGAATTAGAGCCTAAAACATTAAAAATTATAGCATCTAATTGATGAAAACCCCACAAAAACATAAGTTTTAGTAAAATGCCCCAAATTATTTTTCTTGCACTAAGAAACTGAATATTGTTGGATCAGGACGGTCTATTATCTTAAGCATATTTTCTCCTTCTTTGAATAGAAGCAAAAAAAACAGCACTTATTCTGTTTAGTAGAGAGACAAATAAATTATTATGAAAGAGAATTCACTTTAGGAGGAGGACTTGACTTGTTTGTTATGACCGTCTATCACTAGCTATGGCACCGGAGAATATGTTTTTGAGTCTTTTCTTGCGAGATTAACATATTTACGAACAATATTCAAAGTTCACCAATGGAATCACAATATTGTCCAATCAATTTTTTTTGTTTGTTTTTGTTTTGTTTACACATTTTGATGAAGAGGATGAGTAAAAATAGTCGTCGCTAACCTGTTTAAGCAACTCCTTTGGACGGAATTCGTACTTCTCCGGATTTTTCAAGCTTAAAGACGTAAATTGTGGATCCACGAGTTGTAGCAATATAAAACAAAAAAAATATGTGTTCAAAGTTCAAACATTGTGATCTAAATAAAATTAATGTATGGATGTTATAAATTTTTTAGGTTTAGACTTAAACATTTAATATTTAGAAGAGAAAATAATTTTTTTTTGACCATGAATAACAAAGATTATAGAATTCACATATATAATCAATATATATATATATATATATATATTCAAATTTATAAATAGTGATGTTCATTGTTGTATTTGAAATACCTATACGACTATTAACACAAAAATATGCATATTCAAAATTTGAAGACTTACAGAAAAGTTTAGGTATTTTTATGAAAGTTATGCATATCTAAAAAGTTAAAAATTATATATGCAAATTTAGATGATTATTAATTTATAATATTATTGGAACCATAGTTTTATATAGGGATTTGAAAAAAAATTATTATCTTATTATCTTATCGAATTAGATTAATTTTTATAATGTACCGACTATAGACCTATAAAATTTATTAATTTAGCGTGGTTATTAATATGTCTAGTATTAATTTATAGTAGTTTACAAGTTTTTTTTTTACTTGTGATTTACCTCCAAATACATATTCATATATATTCACTTGGAAATGACATTGGGTTTTTCAAATTTCTTTACTAAGACCTATTCTTTTGTGATTAACCTCCAAATAAAATCTTTAATTTTGTCATCACACAAACGAACGAGCCACGTGCACAAAAGACAGAGATGATTTGATTTGTTACTTGCATTTTCTCTTGTCTGTCACTTGATCTCTTTATTCAATTGACTATTGCACCATCGACATGGTTCAGCGAACAAATCAACGTCAACATACTATCAGTGAGAATTTTCTAAAACGAAAAAATGGTCCGTCAGATAATTAAGTAATATCTTTATATGTTTCTTGATCCCGGTTTAGAAGCTGAGTCATACTTATTAATCCCGGTTTAGAAGTATTTAACTCATACTTATCTAGTTTACTAAAAATCAATAATCCCGTTAGGTTAATAATTAATTGGACGCTGAATCAATGAGACTCTCCGTCACCGTCAAAGCCACAAAGCCGTCGTCTCTTGTTACTTGGATCCGATACTCCTCCGCCGCATCGTCGCCGACAATCTCCTTGAATACAGTAAACCTCTCTCGTGCACGCTTTCATGTATATACGCCTTTATTATCCATTGGAATCATTGTGAGTTTCTTTTTTTCTTGGGGTTCAATCCTATAGAGTGGACGATTACAGCAAACTCTCGCGGGATCTGTGGAAGTGAAAGGAAAATCTCTGCATTCCGGTAAGTTCTCGACGGTGAAGCTAATTCCGGAGATCGCCGGAGCTGGTAGATACTTCGAGTTTCGGTCCAGATTCATCCCTGCGTCGATTGAATTTGCTCAGGAATCGCCTCTTTGCACTACACTGTTGAAAGATGAGCTCAAAATCCGAACCGTTGAGCATTTGTTATCAGCTCTTGAGGCGAAAGGAGTTGATAATTGCAGGATTCAAATCGCAAGCGAAAGTTCATATGATCGAGAAGTCGAGGTTTGTCACCTGAATGCATCTACATTTTTGAGTAAATCATTGGTTGAACAAATGTCTCCTATTGTCGATTTTGATTGGATTTGTATGCTAGAGATTGTCAACATCTTGCTGTGTAGTGTAGCTCTTAGTTTTAGAGACTTGGTACATTGGAGGAGATGAGTGTAGGGCCTGTAGGCAATACTAACCAAGTGACAGGTCCCTATTTTTGATGGATCAGCTAAAGAATGGGTCGATGCAATAGAAGGAGTTGGCTTAAAGGTGGCTCAAAACCATGTTGGTGAAAGTGTGGAGAAGATGGTCTCACATGTGAACAAGCATGTGTACGTTTGCAAGAACGATTCTTTTGTCGCTGCATATCCAGCTGTAGAGACTCGGATCACTTGTGGTATCGACTTCCCACAGGTTCAGTCTAATGGCATTTTGAGAATACATAAGAACACAAACTTCTTTTTCTGCTTTTGCATAGACCGTTATTGATTCGGTCTGTTGTTTATGATGATGAGCTTTACAGGTGCCTGCTATAGGCTGCCAATGGTTTTCTTGGAGACCTATCCATGAGTCTTCCTTTGCAAAGGATATTGCACCATCAAGAACCTTCTGTGTGTATGAAGAGGTTAGTTCAATTGTTATTGCTTAGGAGCTTTAGAATCAGTAAACTGGTGTTCCTTCTTCAACCTTCTGTGTCTGAGGGTTTTGTTTGCAGGTGGAGCGCATGCGTGAAGCAGGGCTCATTAAAGGAGGTTCTCTGGATAATGCCATTGTTTGTAGGTAAATAATCTTGCATTTTGATGACAAGTGACAGAATATACAACTGAAACTGTCTCTAATGCAGCACCGAGCATGGATGGATGAATCCTCCTCTGCGGTTTGAAAATGAAGCATGTCGCCATAAGATCCTTGACCTAATCGGTGACCTCTCCCTTGTAGCACGAGGCGGAAATGGAGGACTCCCCGTGGCTCACATAATCGCATTTAAGGTAGATACTAGCTTCACATCTTATAGTTTTCTCGACATCTAAAGAGAAAATAGTTTCCTAATAGTATTCTCTTTAACATGCAGGCGGGTCATGCACTGCACACTGACTTAGCACGTCATCTTACCATCGACTGAAGAGTATGTGCTCGTTGTCAACCATATTCCGCCAAAGTTTTGATTCTTCCTGTGTTTCTTTTTCTGGTTTCGTAATCTAAAGATCGAACCAAAATAGCTCAATCGAATTTCATTACTCTGAATACATTAATTGTTGAACATTAAACTATTTTAGGTATTACTCGTTTTAACAGAACCAACTGTTTCGAAAAAAAACAATTGAATTGACTTTAGTTGTACTTCAATTGTAGTTTTACTGAACCAACTGAACATAACCGAGACTAAACGAAACCCTTAACAAATATAATCTCTAAATGAGAGGATTGATGAGTTAATAAGATGTATCAAAGAGCTAAATTCAATGTTGAGCTGCAACAAAAACTCTCCAACACAGCAGAGCATGACATGCGAAGCTGAAGTCTACATTGGGTTAGCTCTAGTCAGGAAAATGGCTGATTGACAAATTCCATAATGCCCCATTCATCATCATTTTCCTATCCCTCATTAATGGAAGAGGTACGCATGTCTCATTTAATGAATTTGGATTTTATTACATTGCTTTCTAATCGACCATATCAAGTGGACAGCGTCATGTGATGCATCAGTTGGAGAATTTGTCCAATGTGATGAGGGAAACTTCAGCAGCAATAGCAGTAACAGAGATAGCAAAAGATTATATAAAATGGCAGCTGTGCAAGAAATTGCTGAAGGTTATTTGATCATTGTTTTCCAGTGTAAATTTCAGTTTATTGCCTTGTCTTTTCTATGAACATTAAATTATTTTAGGTAGTTTCAAATGCCTGAGTAGAATTGGAAACTACACATTTTACCAAAGTTTCAATACAGGGCATATAACAGATGTACTTGGATTCGTTTGTGCAATTGGAACTAAACATTCTTTTAGAGCTGGTTACATTGGTTTCTTTGAAGACATAGTAAAGTATTGATTTGCAAAACACTAATTCATAAGTACGGTAATGTTTAGTTGCTCTGTTTTAAGATAAACTGTTACATGAAGATGATATTGTATCAAACAAAGCTCATTGAAATCTAGATGCTAACCAAAACTGGAAAGAATTTGATTTTCTTAAATTGAATATATTTTCCACTTAAGAAAAAGGAATAGCGTATATCTTTTTCCATATGGAAACTAATGTATATCATAATTGTCAAAAACAAGATCCTACCAAAAAAAAAAATTGTCAAAAACAAGAAGACAAAAACCCTTCCTCCACCATGTAAACTGTCTCTGGTTTTAATGAAATCAGTTGTCGACAAAAAAAAAAAAAAAAAAAGACAAAAACCCTATTTTCTATTGTTCAGCTTCTGTCAAAAGTTGGAAAAATGACGAGAGACGGCAAAAACAAAGTTGGAAGAAGAATGAAGGGGACGAGTATGTGCGATCTTCCACCGAAATTTGTAGGGGAGAAGATCCTCACCAAGATTCCCATAACATCTCTGAGAGCGGTGAGATCCACTTGCAAATTATGGAACGCTTTAACCAAAGAGTGGGTTTTGGGTAAAGCGTCAGCGGCAAGGCATCAGTTTTTAGGGTTCATGACGATGGATTCAAAGGTCTGTTCAATTAGATCCCATCTCTGCCGCAGCAAGGACAAGGAAGACGAAGACTTGGTTGATATATCTATAAAGCAGGTAGATTGGCTTAATCAAATCGAGATGTCTAAAGTGTATCACTGCGACGGCTTATTGTTATGCGTCGCTAAGGACAACTTTAGGCTCGTGGTTTGGAACCCTTATTTGGCGCAAAATAGGTGGATCATAAGCCCCATAAAAAAATTTCACTGGCGAGACAGCTATGCTCTCGGATACGACATCAACCGTAAGTCCGTAACCTCAAGATCTTGAGGTTTTTGGATTATTTCGGAAAAGACGATCCTGAGTACGAAATCTACGACTATATCTCTTATTCATGGAGGGTTCTTGAGGTCACTCCCGACTTGGAAATACAGCCTCATCAAGGCGGTGTGTCTTTGAAGGGAAATACCTACTTTTTTGCTCATGAGACAACAGGACCTGGCTTTTCTGGTGGAGAGGTCATAGATGGAGACTTGTGGATAGATGGCTATGAGATTAAAGATTTCTTGCTCTGTTTTGATTTTACAAGAGAGAGATTTGGACCGCGTCTGCCTCTTCCGTTTCACTCTAGTATCGAAGACACTGTGACCCTCTCATGTGTTAGGGAAGAGCAGCTCGCGGTGCTATATCAGCAGGAGGGAATGAATGACAATTCATGTAACATACTTCAGATTTGGGTTACAACTAGGATTGAGCCCAACTCTGTGTCCTGGAGCAAGTTTTTGAATGTGGAAATGAGACCATTCGCACTCACTGGTGTTCGGTTTGACCATTATACGGGTGGGACCTTCTTCATTGACGAAGAAGAGAATGTCGCTGTGGTGTTCGACATAGACGGATACCTATCCACCGGGATCAAGACAGTTCGTTACCACACAGCTTTTATCATTGGAGAAGACGGATACTTCAAATCTGTGAGTCTCGGAGTAGCTCCCAAAGTCCCTTTTGAACCTCCTTGTTCCGGGTATGTCCCAGAGATTTATTGCCCCCCACTTGTGTGCTCTTCTGCTTATCTTCCAAGTTTGGTGCAACTCAGGTAACCTCGCAAAAGGAAAGAAAGAGATGTTTAGTTTTTGTTTCTTGCATTTCTCAGACTGCTTGTTTTCAGATCAGCTCTCAGTTTCGTTTCTATCTATCAGCTAATAAAGTAGAGGATTTCGGGTTTTTTCATGTATCTTTCTACCCTTTTTCATTGCTATTGTCAAACTTATTCTTGTCATGTTTTAATTTTCTTTCTTTCGTCCATGAGATGGTTAAGTGCCTTATTTGTTTCTTGTAAACGATTGTTCTAGTCACTTTGGTCACTTGCAAGATAACTATATGTACCACATCCGCAAGTAAAAGAATTGTACTACATGTGTGTCATTTAAGTACAGGAAAAGGTGCTGATCCTTTTCTCATATAAAGAGCCGGATTTAGCATCCTCAAAAATATGAAAGAGTTTCATGTATCTTCTTCACCTACTCGTTATTCATTTTCTATAGCTTCTTCAATATCACAACTTTGTAACCACCTTGATGAATTATGTTTTGAGGTCAGCTAGCACTCACTGTGTGGTTTCTTTTTGTGTTAGGCCTGACTGAGAAAAACAAAAACTCGTGTTTCTAATTAGTTTTTTGCAACTTATCTTACTGAATTAAGACCAAAAATATGGAGTAAACAATAAGCGTTTGTTTCTGCGTGTACTTAAAGGAAACGAAAGTGATCTCTGATGTTATCTCACGTATGTATGTTATGTTTCTAACCCCATTATGAATACTCTGGAGACTTTTCAGGTTGGTCATGAAGTGAAAGTAGTAGTAGACACGTTCCGGGTTCCTGCTTAGTTAGGAACCGCTTTCATTTATACTGATTACCTCTTTTGGAGGTTGATGACATAAGTTATTGGTATGCTGTTTTATTTCTGTTATGATAGACTGCAAGTGGTGCCTCTTTTTAAAACTGTGATAAGGAAATTGTTATTAATCGAGTGGTTCGGAGAACAAATTCAAAAGACCAACAATGGTCATTATATTTAGAGGTGTGTCTGGTTCTGAAGAGACTTGTAACGTTATTTATGCGCAGGTGATATGGTTAGATATACAGATTCTGGACGCTTGCAGCAGTGAATTTGGCATCAAAGTTACCTTGTTCCATGGAAGAGGAGCTTCCTCCTTATCTCGCCATACAATCCCAACCTTAAGGTTCTGATCTGTGATGGTGAGTTACTCTATTATAGCAGGCCAGAAAATGGACGATTATTCGAACTTGTATAGTTTCAGATGCCTGAGTAAGGTAGGACATAAAACAACAGATGTACTTGAATTCGTTTGTGTAGTTGGAACTAGACATTTTTTGAGAGCTGGTTACATTTGGTTTCTTTGAAAACCTTGTAATGTTTTGGGCATGCAAAACACTAATTCATAAATATGCTTATGTTGCTCTGTTTTTTTTTTGGTAAATGGTTGCATTCTAGATGCTAAACAAAAATGAAAGAATATGATTTTCTTAACTTGAGTAAATTTTCCACATAAGAGAAAGGAATAGAGTATGTATTTCTTTTTTGTATACGAAACATATCATATCATATTTGTCAAAAACAAGAAGACAAAAAACCTAAGTTCTATTGCGCAGCTTGTTCCGTCAAAAGTTGGAAAAATGACGAGAGCCGGAAAAAAAAAAGTTGGAAGAAGAATGAAGAGAACGAGTATGTGCGATCTTCCACCGAAGCTGGTAGGGGAGAAGATCCTCACCAAGATTCCCATAACATCTCTGAGAGCGGTGAGATCCACTTGCAAATTATGGAAGACTTTAACCAAAGATTGGGTTTTGGGTAAAGCGTCAGCGGCAAGGCAGCAGTTTTTAGGGTTCATGACGATGGATTCAAAGGTTTGTTCAATTAGATTCCATCTCTGCCGCAACAAGGACAAGGAAGACTTGATTGATCTATCTATAAAGCAGGTAGATTTGCTTAATCAAGTCGAGATATCTAAAGTGTATCACTGCGACGGCTTGTTGTTATGCGTGGCTAAGGACAACTCGAGGGTCGTGGTTTGGAACCCTTATTTGGGGCAAACAAGATGGATCAGACCCAGAACAGAATCCAACATAGGAGACAGCTATGCTCTTGGATACGACATCAACCGTAACCACAAAATATTGAGGATGGTGCAAACAAGAAACGTTTCCGTTTCCAGGTACGAAATCTACGACCTGCGCTCTAATTCATGGAGGGTTCTCGAGGTCACTCCCACCGGGGAAATGGACCCTAATCATCGCCTCAAATACCTACTTTTTTGCGCATGAGGATAGTCACAGTGTTGAAACTGATGAAGATGGCGAGATAACCGATCTTGAAGATTTCTTACTCTGTTTTGATTTTACAACAGAGACATTTGGTCTGCGTCTGCCTCTTCCGTTTCACTCTACTATCGACGCGACTGTGACCCTCTCTAATGTTAGAGACCAGCAGCTCGCGGTGCTATATCATAATGAGGGTCTTCACAGTGATGATCGGTTTACCACAGTTGAGTTTTGGGTTACTACTAGTATTGAGCCCAACTCTGTGTCCTGGAGCAAGTTTTTAATAGTGGATATGAGACCAATCGCACTCGCTGGTGTTCTGTTTGACAATTATATGGGTGCCACCTTCTTCATTGACGAGGAAGAGAAAGTCGCTGCGGTTTTCGATCTAGACGGATACCTACGCACCGAGAGCGCTCGTTACCACACAGCTTTTATCAGTGGAAAGGATGGATTCTTTAAACCTGTGACTCTTGGAGTAGCTCCCAATGTCGGGAAACCTTGTCCCAGAACCGGGCATATTCCAACTACATATCGTCCCCCGCTTGTCTGCTCTTCTTCTTATCTTCCGAGTTTAGTGCAAGTCAACCAACCGCGCAAAAGGAAAGAAAGAGATGTTTAGTTTTGTTTCTTGCAGTTCTCAAGACTGCTAGTCAATTCTCAGTTTCATTTCCATTGCGGCATTTTTTCATGTATCTTTCTACCTTTTTAGTTACTCTTGTCAGACTTACTCTTGTCATGGTTTAAGTTTCTTTCTTTTCGTCAATGAGATGTTAAGTGCCTTATTTGTTTCTTGCATTGTCCTCGTCTGCAGTCAATTTATCAAGTAATTGTTCTAGTTACTTGTTCACATGCAAGATAACTATATATACCATAGCTGGGAATTGCACCATCCTCAAGCAAATTAAGCATGCCATGATTTTAAGTTTAGACCAAAATATGCAGTAAACAATATAAGTTGTCTGTTTCTGCTTTACTTAAAGGAAAGCCGCCAGTATGATAATACGGATGTGATCTCTGACTAGATCTTATCTCATGTAATGTTATGTTTCCAACACCATTATGCAAACAGCTATCAGCCTTTTTGCAGCAATGAATTTGGCATCAAAGTTACCTTGTTCCATGGAAGAGGAGCTTCCTCCTTATCTCGCCATACAATCCCAACCTTTAGGTTCTCATCTGTGAGGGTGAGTTACTCTATCTATATAGCGGCCAGATAATGGACGATTTTTCAAACTTGTATAGTTTCAAATGCCCTAGTATATAAGGTAGGACAATAACAGATGTACTTGGATTCGTTTGTGCAATTGGAACTAAACATTTTTTTTTTTTTTGGTAGGGAGGAACTAAACATTTGTTGAGAGCTGTTTACATTGGTTTCTTTGAAAAAACGTAGTAATGTTGCTCTGTTTTTAGATTAACTTTTTACATGAAGATAACAAATTGAATCAAAGAAAGTTAAGTATTGATGCCAAGGAAAAATGGAAAGAATTTGATTTTCTTAAATTGAATATATATTCCACAAACGAATAGAGTATTTCTTTTTTGAATACGGAACATAACAATATATATCATAATGATTATCAAAGACAAAACCCTAATTAATTCTACTACGCAGCTTCTGTCGAAAAGTTGGAAAAATGACGAGAGCCGAAAAAAAAAAGGTGGAAGAAGAGTGAAGAGGACGAGTATGTGCGATCTTCCACCGAAGCTGGTAGGGGAGAAGATCCTCACCAAGATTCCTATAACATCTCTGAGAGCGGTGAGATCCACTTGCAAATTATGGAAGACTTTAACCAAAGAATTGATTTTGGGTGAAGCGTCAGCGGCAAGGCAGCAGTTTTTAGGGTTCATGACGATGGATTCAAAGGTTTGTTCAATTAGATTCCTTCTCCGCCGCAGCAAGGACAAGGAAAACGAAAAAGACTTGGTTGATCTATCTATAAAGCAAGTAGATTTGCTTAATCAAGTCGAGATATCTAAAGTCTTTCATTGCAACGGCTTATTGTTATGCGTCGTTAAGGACCACTCTAGGCTCGTGGTTTGGAACCCTTATTTGGGGCAAACAAAGTGGGTCAGACCAAGAACAGATTTCAACATACTAGACAGGTATGCTCTCGGATATGACAAGATCAACTGTCACCACAAAATCTTGAGGTTTGTGGAGATAACTCGCGTTCCCAGGTACGAAATCTATGACTTTAGCTCTAATTCATGGAGGGTTCTCGAAGTCACTCGCGACTGGGAGATAGATCCTTGGGCACTCGGCGGCGGCGGAGGCGTGTCTGTGAAGGGAAATTGCTACTTTTTTGCTTGTGAGAACATATTGAATCTAGAAGCTGATGAAAATGGAGAGGTAACAGATAGGGAAGATTTCTTACTTTGTTTTGATTTCACATCAGAGACGTTTGGTCGGCGCCTTCCTCTTCCGTTTCACTCTTGTATCGACGAGGCTGTGACCCTCTCTTGTGTTAGAGACGAGCAGCTCGCGGTGCTATATCAAAATGAGGGTCTTAGTGAAGATCGGTTTAGCACAGTTGAGTTTTGGGTTACAACTGGGATCGAGCCCAACTCTGTGTCCTGGAGCAAGTTTTTGACAGTGGATATGAGACCATTCACACTCAGTGGTGTTCGCTTTGACAAATGTATGGCTGCGAGTTTCTTCATTGACGAGGAAGAGAAAGTCGCTGTGGTGTTCGATCTAGACGGATACCTACCAACTGAGACCGCTCGTTGCCACACGGCTTTTATCAGTGGACAAGACGGATACTTTAAACCTCTGAGTCTTGGAGTAGCTCCCGATGTCGGGGAACCTTGTCCCATAACCGGGCGTATGCTGACTAGATATTGTCCCCCGCTTGTGTGCTCTTCTGCTTATTATCCAAGTTTGGTGCAGCTCAAACAACCGCGCAAAAGGAAAGAAAGAGATGTTTAGTTTTGCTTCTTGCATTTCTCAAGACTGCTAGTCAATTCTCAGTTACATTTCCATTCGGCTTTTTCATGTATCTTTCTCCTCTTTTAGTTGCTCTTGTCAGACTTACTCTTGTCATGGTTTAATTTTCTTTCTTTTCGTCCATGAGATTGTTAAGTACCTTATTTGTTTCTTGCATTGTCGTCATTTGCGAGTCAATTTATCAACCGATTGTTCTACTCACTTGTTCACTTGCAAGATAACTATATACACCACAACCGTGAATTGCATGACATGGTTACTGTTTGACCAATTATGGAGTAAACAATAGAGAAATGTCTGTATGACAATAAGAAAGTGATATCTGATCTCATCTCATGGTATGTTATGTTTCCAACACCACTATGAATACTATCTAGCCTTTTCAGATACCAGACATTCCACATTCCGGGTAGCTTCTTAGGTAGGAACCAAATAAAAGCTGAAAGGCCCTCTGCCATTTTTGTCGCTAGGCATCTGTAAATCAATATAGTTATCCGTTTTCCAAATTTCACAAATTAAGTTAAAAGTGGTGGAACGAATTGAATATTTATGATAGAAACAATGTGAAGAAGACATTTTGCATTGGCAAACATTATTACAGGGAGGTACTAATCAAACACAGCTGAATTTCTCATTCAGGCTAGTCTATGTCAGCTTCTCAGATTCCTTTTTCTCTACGAGTTTGATGAAATTGCGGACAATTGTCTTGCCTTCGGTTGTTATAATACTCTCCGGATGAAATTGAACTCCCTGTAAACAATTTTTACAAGACTTTCATTGAATGGAGGCAATAAGATACATGAAAACACTTGAGTGGATTTTACCTGTATATGCTTATACTTCCTGTGACGGGCAGCCATAACCAGACCATCTTCTGTCCATGCTGTAACCTCGAGTTCATCACTAGGAAATGAATCTTTTTCGATCACGAGGCTGTGATATCTACCTACAAGGAAAGGGCTGAAAACAACAGGCCAAAAAGATTTGTTTTATTATTAAAAATTTACAGACTTATATTTAACTATATAATACAACACAGAAAAATCTGATTCATACTTGGATAACCCAGAGAACAAGCCTTCTTCTCCTTTCTCATCATAGTAAACCATTGAGCTTTTCCCATGCATAACACCAAATGGTGACCGCACAATCTTTCCTAATAAAAGTTCAAACAATATTGCATTTAAGTTGTGGATACATAACATAAAGAACAAAACCATGATAGAACACTGATATGGGAAAATAAGATGTCTTCTTTATATGCAACTAACCTCCAAATGCTTCTCCTATACACTGCAAACCCATGCATACTCCAAATAAAGGAACACGTGGTCCGAGTTCCAAAACAGTTTGCAAGGAAATCCCAGAGTCTTGAGGGGTACCTATCAAATTCAAGAAAAGTGTTATCCACCACAAGATACACCACATAATCATAGAAGAAATTTCAGAGGCCAAAATATTTACCAGGTCCAGGAGAAATCAACACTCCTCTTGGATTTTTACTGCAAGAGGGAGAGCATAATAAAGGAATCAACACCAATTGATTAGCCAGATTACGTTTAAACAGAATGCATATAATTTCCGCTTACTTTTTCAGCTCCTCTACTGTAAGTTCATCATTGCGGTAAACTTCAAAATGGCATCCTAGCTCTCCCATATACTGTAGAAATAGATAATAATTCAAAATTTTGTTTATACTAAAGCAGAAGAAACCATATCAAGAGAACGATCATGATAAATAGTATGCACTTCACACGATTATGCGTGGAGAACTAGAAGTAAGACATGATCAAATTGTATATTTGGGATCTATGTGTGTTATGTGAGATATTCAGAGCAGCCAAAATCTCATGAGAAAGCAAGATATTTCAACAACGAATAACCAATCTAAAGTCAAAAATAGCAACTCACAAAATCGCAACTCACAAAATCACCAATTCAAACTTTGAACATGATTAAAGATTCTTCTTAAAAGACCAGACTTTAGGCAGCAAAGAAATAATGTATTAGGTTGCTGGATCAAAAATTACTCCTTACAACGACATACAAACAAAGAGGAGCTTTCGACAATAAGAATCGATGACATAATGTCTCTGATCACATAACAATAGAGAATCTACATTATATAGTATTAATTATTAGCATGTCGAAACTAGATTGGATTGTGAACTAATGAGATTCTAACATTCAATCACAATGCATACACTAACAAATTCAAGGACTTGCAAATTCAGATGCTTTTATACCAAACAGATTCAAAAATCTAACAAGCGTAGTGAAGATTGGAGATTGTGTTCGAAATGAAACCTGGCAGAGATTGTAAGTGAAGCTGTCGTAATTATCAATCACGATGATAGGACCATAACCATTCTGCTTAGAGGAATTGACAACAACGGAAGGTATCGAATTCGAATCCGCCATTTCAATAGAAGCTTTAGCAAAGACATCTCTACGACTCTTCCCCAAAACCGAAACTCCTATATCACAGAGGAAACAAAAACAGATAAAAATCAAAACTTTTGATTCGAATAAACGCCTCTATCCCGAAACCGAAGACTTACTTGTCGGATTCGTAAGAGGGTTAACGAGAGAAAGGTTTAGCCGAGTGGTGGAGCGAGACTTGGGTTGAAGAAGACAAGACTTGTACAGTGTAGTAGCCGCCATTGTCGGAGAAGCAAAGATTCTTCTCTGATTCGAAGAGAGAGGAGTTTAAAAAACCTCTGAGAGAGGAGGGATTGGGAAATTTGACAGGTGAAACGGTGCGTTTTTGTGGAACATGAACCACGTGCTTAATCAGTAGGTGAGTAATTAATTAACTAATTTGATTAAAAATCTTTTTGCTAAGTCAAAGTCAAAGTCAATATCAGGGCCGGCCCGAAGGCGGGCGGATGACGCCTAAAGCACATCAAGAAAATGGTGCCCCTTATTCATAACTAAATTTTTTTTCCAATCAAAGTATAATTAAAAACTATGTAAAATTAAAATATAACCGAAAGTTTGACTTGTTTTTATGAAATTGTACAGAAACATCAATAAAGGAAAGAACGGAGATACAGAAACATCCTATGTTAAGTTTTATGTTTAGATGTTAGAATTTTTTTTAAAAAAAAACAGAGAAGAAGTAGGACTTTAGGAGGAAAAAGAAAACATACATGGGGAACAAGGGAAGAAAGAGAAACGGCAGAGATTGACGATATAGAAGATTCTGGTGGCGATTGATGGTGTTTCGGCGGAGATCAATGGGGTTCCGGCGAAGATTGGAAGAAGAAGAGGAACTGTCAAATAACGAAAGTTGGGTTTCTTTGAGTTTTTTAGGTCAAAGATAAAATCTGAGTATTTTTGGAATTTAGATATACAATATATGGAATTTAGATTAGGAAAAATAGGAAAAGAAATCGTTTGAACTTTAAACAAAAAACGTGGGCTGGGTTTTGAACCCGTTACAACTTACAAGAAGAGACTAAAAACTAAAAAGTAAAACCCACTATACCAAAGGAACATAACTGGCTATAATTCCCCCAAAACACTTATAAACTTTCGCGCCTAAAGCCCTTGCTTCATGGGCTTTAGGTCAGGGTCATAGTTATCTAAAATGGGGTTTGGAATTAGTCCATTCGCAGGACTATTGTACACGTACCTAACCTAAATCTCTAGATAGTTTGGTTAAATATATGAACAAAATTAGGAAATTAATTTTCATATCTTAAAGTATAGGAAGTTATTTCTTAATTTATATTCATGTATTTACATATCCTTTACCATATCCGGTTTATGTATCTTGCTTGCTTTTCTTTTTCTGTTGGTTTGGTTTGAATTGTAAAAGACACCAATGTTGAAGTTTTTTTTTCCCATTAAATTGTGTCGCTCCAATTTTTAATATGGATGTTATTATATGTTAGCGGACAATGGCCAAACATATTTATTATATTGATAAAGTATTGAACGAACCTCCAAATTTGTTGGTATATGTTTGTTTGGTGCCATGCAATAACTAATGGATCGAAAAAGAATTACGTTAACACCATGGTTTAGCTAAACAAGCTGTGATAAATCCCATAAATCTGCATGGCCTTCATGTATTTCTTTCAGATTTTACTTAAATTTTTGGAGCCACTCATAAGAGTTATATTTGATATGTAGAATTTTATGTGCTTCAATATTGATTTCCATGTGAATTACAATGGGAAATAAAAATCTGTGTCTAACATTTTTGATGTGTCCCATTTGTGCAAAATGTTGCCGAAGACATCATAAAAAACGACACTCATTTCTGATCTAGTGATTTTAACTGACATGAAACCTTGTCCATCGTAGAAAAATTTCATATCCTCTGGTGTTGTCCAATTATAATAGCCTCTCCATGCCTTTGACCCACCACCACTCGTTAAAAACTGAATTGGACTGCAAAAAGATAATAAAATGTTAATCCACAACTTTATCTTTCATTATCCGCTCCATCCAAACGCAGCTTTATTTATATATACCAATTAATTGGTTTTACCTTTGAGATGTGCTTATCTGTTGCAAGCAATGATCATGACCATTCATATAGAGATCGACTTTATTCGCCTGAAAAATTCCAAAAATAGTTACATATTATAATACTAGTGTGCTCTTTTTTTTTTCTCTTTTCTGAACGAAATTTCTACTTTTAGTATTTCAAACAAATTTTATTTGTTAATAACAAACGGAAAATATCAACTCTCCATGCGTTTGTCTTTTGCAAAAATAGTTTATGAGCAAGTGAAAATGTTTAACTTTTAAGAAATATGAAATATAAACATTAAAAAAAAACACAAAAGTTAGCTTTTTATTTTAAATTGCATTTGAAATAATCGAGACATAATTAAGAAGAAAATGAACCTCAAGGATGGGTAAGAGGAGAGATTCAAGCTCTTTGGTATTCCCATGAATGGAAGCACTCTTTATAGCATGGTGACCCACCACAATTTTCCATTTTGCTCTTGATTCTCTTAGACCCATCTCCAACTCCTACACATTATACTTAGTATTTGGGATCGTCATCAAGATAATTCCTACAAAACTGTAGATATATGTGTTTTCAAGTACCGTTAAGATGGTCTGAAGATAGGATTCTCGCGGTGATACACCGCTCCAGTCGTAAGTTTGGTCTTGTGGATTGAGGAAATAAGCATCTACAAAAGGAGTTGTGTCGACAAAAAAGAGCTCTGCGATCTCTGCCCGAATTTGAAGATAAGAAGTTGAAAGCCATAAAAATATGATTATATACGTAAGAAAAACATGTAAAATATTATAATATCGAGCACACTCTTGTAAAACATATGTAATAGCTAGTATACCAGCGTCAACGATGAAAGATCTCATGCAAATCCAACGGCTGTCCATAGATCTGAGGATAGGACTCAATTGTGCCTCAACATCTCCTCTATAGTCGTGATTCCCCAATACTGAGTAGAATGGACAGTTACATATCTATTATTCTCTTCTTCTTCTTTTTTTTTTTCATTTTAGCATTAATTACTTTTGTATGAATTAATGATTGGAGACATTATTACCAAGGTACCAAGGCTTTTGCAGGCTAGGAGAAGTGTAGATATTACTGAAGGAGAGTTGAAAGGCGGGATCATCGATGTTTTTCATCCCGTTATCGTAGATGTTATCACCCGTGGATACCACAAAATTGATATCCATCTCCTCCCCAATTCTCCCCATCTATGTTTCCATCTAAACAATCTTAGAAAATAAAACATATATGGGTATACATATATGTATATAGTATGTAAATTAGTACCTGGAGGGCAACTTGGGATTGGTTGTAGAGTCCACGCCTACCCCAATCTCCAATCACCAGAAAACTGATAGAGCCATCAGGGTTTGGAGCATGTTCGACCGTTGCGAGCTTGGCCTCAAGTTTTGGTGCCAAAGATAATAATAAGAAGCAGAGAAGCAGAGTCATTACTATGCTCAAGGAGCCGATATCAAACTTAGAACACATTCTGTTCCTAACGAGCTTTATGTGATAAAAAGCAACATATATATATAAATAAGTCGACTGTGCATGTGAGTGCTAGTGGGTTTCTCGCTTGTAAGTCACATTTGGATAATAGCTAGCGTCCACATGGTGGACCAAACAAGATTATATTATAACTGGATCCTAATTAGCGATCTATATATGCCTGTTTTTGTTCATATATTATCTATAGTTCTTCTTTTTCTTAAACGGCTTAACTTAATTATCTACATTGCTTTCCTCCAACTTTAAACTAAAAATAAATATTCGGAAATCGAACATTTTATAGTTCTTTTATCAGCCACTCACACTCACAAAGGCTCATAATTATATTCCAACTCAATAATAGCACTTGTCATAATTAATACCAAAATTCTAACTATTAGGCCATATATAATCGTCGATTATTTAGATATGTTATTTGAATTCACCGTCAAAACAAATACTTTATTGTTTTGCTTTTTCAACACTTAATATATTACATCTTTTATGCATCCACGTGAATCATACATACAAGACAAACCAAATTATATATGAATTATTGTGCAGCTTGCGATTGATTTTGAAATGCGAAGAATGCGTTTTAGATTCGAATGGTGAGTATGTAGATATATCTTCTGGAAAGAAAAATGATAGCTTTATATCCAAAAAGGATAAATGATAAATAGAAGAAGATATATTTTTTGCCCATACGCAATCAAGTTTGGCTGTCATGTCTTTAAAACAGCTTCGCGGAAATGCCAACTACTCATCTCTGGTCTACCCGAATCAAACTCTCTACCAAAAGCAAAACAACAAAATAATTGCATCACACCATATCATTCATATATCTTTATAGCCTTCTGTTATATCCAATAATATTGTTCAATCATTTTTTCCAAATATAAAAATATAACTAAAGAAGAAAAATCATTACAAAACATAAAAAATTTAACATCCAACAATTTGTCATATACTCATTACATTATTTATTTTCACTAGCTAGTCTCTTCTTCTAAGTTCTAATTACCTCAATATTTAATAAACAAACTAGTGACAAACAATAAGGAAATCAATGAAAATAATTGTGGTATGCGGCTCCTAAAAATTGATATCTCAAGTTTTAAAACTTTTCAGATCTAACAAACTTTACTTTTCAATTATGATTTTACTTCATTCAAGTGTCAATGAAGTATACAAGAATTCTTAAATACATCAACTAAACCGAAACTAAAGCTAAACCAACTTAAACCAATCTAGCCTAACCGATATATGATCTCTAATACTCCCCCTCAAGATGAAAGTATCAAAGAACTTTCATCTTGGACTTGAAAACTCCATTAGTGTATCCTCCATAACCTTCTCGATGAGAGAAACATTCAAGTGAACTTGATAGATCTTATTTGACGTGAGTGGCTTGAATCCAAGATGAGCTTGATAAAACTGGTGAGTATTACAAGTAAAGAATACTGCTCAAAGAAACTTGAAGTCTCCATGGTTTTGTAGCAAAAAAAACATCACGAACCAGCCATAGGAGTAACAAGCCGTAGACAAGTGAAGGATCTTATCTCTTTTAACCAAGCATCCTCTTTCCAAAACCAAATTCAACTAACCATCAACCACAAACCAGCTTCTGCAATGACCTTTTGCTCATCAAGAGAAAGTTAAACAAACCAGAGATGTGTAAACTACAATATTTCATATCCAAATAGAAACCCAAAACTTCCTCTGGTTTGGACCAGAACTTGGTGAAGGGATGCTTGCGGATATATCCGGCCATGAAAATATCAGTTGAAAACAAACAAGAATTTAACACACAACTGCAGTAAGTGAGCAGCTTCTCTAGTCTTCCCATACATTCTTGAACTTGAGAATGAAACTTGGAATGACAAAGACAAGCCAGCAAGTCAACACTGCTTAGATGATACTTCCATCTTCTTAATCAACTCTGTAAGTCCTTGAAATCCATGCTTGATGTGCATGACAAACAGTTGATCAACACACAACACCTCAATAAAGGCACATCCATCTTCTGTTTCGACAAGGAGGCTTAACAACAGGTAACATTATGGCACCAAGTTCACAAAAATAGTGAAACCAGAACAATTGAAGATCATAATCATCGCTGCCATGAACCAGAATAACCAAAACATTGGGATTACTTGATTGTATCCCCACCTCTCTATGTACATAACGAGCTGATGAAGTTCTCATAAAGTACATACCACAAGAGGTTGTAAATCTGATGGCCGTGGAAGAGATCCGTAGATGAGTACAAGATCCAACGTCAAATTCAACCATGGATTTTCTCCAAATAGATTGTCATCGACAATAATCTCTACTGGTGGAGCCATAAACTCAACAAAACCAGAAAATGGTTCCATCCCAATAGCAATCACAAAACAAGTGCAAAACGATATCAACACATCGTGATAATCGCAACACTCGAATCAAATGAAATTGCAGAAAAAACAAACTCAACGGAAGAGATGAAACAAAGCAGAGAAATATCTTCTTCACAAATGGAAGATCTCTGAACAGATCGACGAAGTAACCGTGAGCTGAAACTTGGAAAACCTCAATCCAAGCAAAATCCGGCAAAAGAACCGCACAAAATAACCAAAATCGGCAAAATCAAGCACGATCTGGTATACTTGAAGCAATGTGAGGTGAATTAAAACCAACAGGCTTCTCACAAGACTCCGATGAAATGATCTCCTGGTAAATCCTGTTTAGATTGTTCGATACTCTGAATTATCCTTCCGTTTCACCGTTGATAATTGATTTCAGCTCAAATTCAAAGAAGAACAGCAAAAATCGCACAGGAAACCAGAAGAAGAAGCTCGAAGCAACTACAGAAATGGATCGCGAAGTGGAAAATCACTACGAATTCTGAATCAACAATGAATCAGAAGAAATTCAAGCTTCAAAGAAGCAATTACAACGATCGAGGAAATCTGATCTCAAAATCGAAGGAGAAGAACTCGAATCTGAGAAATCAAGACAATAAGTGAAGAAATCAATGCTCGATTCAAAGAAACTGGAGCTCGATTCGAAGAGATCAGTGCTCGACACAGATGATTTGATGAAAACCAAGCTTGATCGATGAAATTGAAGCTCGAATCAAGCCGGAGAAGAAGAAAGAACTCGATCGGAATGTAACGCGATCGGAAAAGCAAGAAAACGAAGAAAAAAGTAGAAAATCTCTGATGAAAATGTCGAGAATGAATCGGAGAAGAAGATGATGATAGATTCAAGAGGTATGAACAAAGAATGAAAGATGATTTGAGCTTACGGAAGAAGAATGAAGTTTGACGAAGCAAAGCTTGAAGAAGAAAAATTGCTCTGATACCATTTCAGATCTAACAAACTTTACTTTTCAATTATGATTTTACTTCATTCAAGTTGTTGTAAACTTATTGTTTTTCTATGTATTAATGAATGAAGTTCGTTACATATATATACATAATGAGAGGAGACAAATTCTCATTGGGTTAGTAAACCCTAAAGCCCAAAAGCCCACTAAGTATAAAATGGATCCTAAAAGGAGAATCTTCTAGAGCATGGGCATGGGCCTTCTAGGACATGGACACGGGCCTTCTAGAATATGCATAAGGCCCACGGTTATGGAGTCCATCCAACATGTGGTTTATAACACTCCCCCTTGGATGACATAACCGTGTAGATGCCAAAGGATCTCAGCAATACGCTTGGGGGATGCTGCCTCATTAAAACCTTACCAGGAAAACTCATTGGGATAAAACCATGGTGAAGGAAAAAGAGTACAGCACGTATTACTCCCCCTGATTTGGTCATCCCTGTAAGTCCTTAAGTCTCCGCATCCCCTCAATGTTGATGTTGGTAACGCCTTAGTGAATAGGTCGGCTGAATTGTCACATGATTGGACTTGTACCACTCGAACTTCTCCATCCCTTTGCAAGTCATGCGTGAAGAAGAACTTTGGTAGAATGTGCTTCGTCCGATCTCCCTTGATGTAGCCGTCCTTGAGCTGAGCGATACAGGCTGTGTTGTCTCCTCATATGATGGTCTTTGATGTTGTAGTAGCTGCGCCTTGAAGAAGGCTGCCTACGTACCCTTGGAAGGGATCAAGCCACACGTAGTTCCTATTTATTGACCATGCCATAATCTGATCTTACCTGCATCAGCAAAACAAACTAAACCAAAGCAAACTAGACCTTCTTTGGTTAGATCAATATAGAATAAAACCCAAATAAACAAACATAGGAAGAATAGAATTTAAAATTTAACCAAACCTTCCTTCAAACCTTTCTAGTGCCTTTGGGTTGATCATGAACTAAATTTAGACAAAGGAGGTTCACGGCAAAACATATATCTGGTCTAGTGTGGCTAGCCAAGTACATTAACGCTCCTATGGCACTAAGGTATGGCACTTCAGGATCGAGAACTTCTTCCTCATCCTTCTTTGGACCGAATGGATCACTATCCAATCCGAGGCTTCTCACCACCATTGGGCTGCTCAATGGGTGGGCCTGGTCCATATTGAATCTCTTGAGTACTTTTTCAGTATATGCCTTTTGATGCACAAGGATTACATTATTCATGTACTCAAGTTGCAATCCCAAACAGAATTTTGTCTTGCCTAGGTCTTTCATCTCGAATTCTTTCTTTAGATATTTGACTGTTTGGGCGATTTCCCCAGAGGTTCCAAGGATGTTCAAATCATCCACATATACTGCTATTATCACAAATCCTTTGTTTGCGAATTTCTTTATGAAGATACATGGACTGATGGGATCATTTTTATAACCTTCTCTGACTAAGTAATCGCTTAATCTATTATACCACATGCGCCCACTTTAAAATTTATTGTTTTTCTATGTATTAATGAATGAAGTTCGTTACATATATATACATAATGAGAGGAGACAAATCCTCATTGGGTTAGTAAACCCTAAAGCCCAAAAGCCCACTTTGTTTCAGTCCATAAAGCGATTTGTTCAGCCTTATGCAGTATTGGTCACGAGACACTTTCTTATCTTTATCTTTGAGCTCAATACCCTCTGGTAATCTCATATATATCATCCAGTGGACTTATATAAATATGCAGGCATTACATCCATTAGCCGCAAATCAAGTCTTTTTCTTTATATAGCCAGACTTAGCAAAATTTAAATGTCTTAGCATCCACCACAGGGGAGTATGTTTCTTCATAATCTATCCCCGGTCTTTGTGAGAATCCTTGTGCTACAAGCCGTGCCTTATATCTCACGATTTCATTATTCTCATTTCTCTTCTTCACAAAGACCCATTTGTGTCCTACTGGTTTTTACATCGAATGGTGTCCTTAAGGTCGGACCAAACTCATTCCTTTTCTTAATGATTCTTAGCTCCACGTTTTATGGTCTTGTACCATTTAATCAATCAAGTCTTTGAGTGCACTCTAGTATAGACGTGGGCTCCTGATCCTCATTTAAATTCATAAATTCAAGTGCTACCTTGCATGCAAAATCATCTTATGTCGACATTTCTTATATGTTCCATTATGTTCCAGACATGATATAATCGATTTGAGATTTATTATGGTCAGGACCTTTAATACTTTGCAGCTTGGCGTCCCAAGCTACATTATATGGTACCTGTACCTTAGAGCCGGCCGGCCTTATCTCCATGTCTGGGATGGTTTCCTTAGTAACCTCGGATTCCTATTGCACCTTTCTTTGATTTTCGAGGATTTTTATCTTTGGAACCTATTGGTCTACCACGTTTCTTTCGTGTGTTAGACTCGTCAGCAATTTCATTGATTCCCTTTTGGATATCAATACGTACTGGTGCATTACAAGCTGGTATGTACGTTTTTGTAACTTTCTTTGGGTCAGCAAAGGAATCTGGCAATTGATTAGCTAGCTTTTCAAATGTATAATCTTATGGACCTCTGATTCTCATGCCAGAGTCCGAGGATCTTGCCAATTTAAGGATGTTTGATTCCATTATATTTCTTTTATTGCTTTACCCAGCTTGTTCGTCTCTCCACCTATAGTAGGAAATTCGGATTCATTAAAATGACAATCCGCGTATCTAGCCTTAAATAGATCACCCGTAGTTGGCTCTAGATACTTAATAATGGTGGGAGAATCAAATCCAACATATATTCCCATCCTCCTTTGAGGTCCCATCTTTGTTCTATGTGGTGGAGCAATCGGTACATATATGGCACACCCGAAAGTCTTTAGATGGGATATGTCTGGCTCATGACCCATGAGTAATTGGGATGGTGAATATCTATGTTCACTAGATGGCCTTATGCGTATAAGCTCTGATGCATGTAAAACAGTGTGTCTCCAAGCGGCTACTGGAAGCTTCGACCTCATGAGTAATGGTCGAACTATCAATTGAATTCGTTTAATGAAGGATTCCGCTAATCCATTCTGTGTATGTACATGTGCTACGGGATGTTCCACACTTACCCCCATGGACATACAGTAGTCATTAAACGCTTGGGACGTGAATTCACTGGCATTGTCTAGACGTATAGTCTTAAGCGGAAAATCTGGAAAGTGGGCTCGCAGTCTTATTATCTGGGCCAATAACCTAGCAAACACTTGATTTCTAGTAGATAGGAGACAAACATGCGACCATCTTGTCGATGCATCAATGAGGACCATACATATATCTCCTTGTATCCTTTCCAGAAATTTTAAGGTCTCTTTATTTACCTTAGCCGGTGATGGCCTTATAATGAGTTTCCCTTGTGAACATGCTTCACACGTGAGATTCTTAGGGATAACTCTTTTCTCTCTTAGGGTGTGCCCCTTTGAATTAGTTATTAGTTTACGCATCATACTATGACCCGGATGGCCAAGCCGGTCATGCCATAAAGTGAATTTCTCGATGAACTCTTTGTTCATTGCCATATTAACTTCGATCATATCGATTTTAGCATAGTAGAGACCAGTGGATAATGCGGGTATAGTCTCTAGGACTTTCTTATGTCCTTGGGTGATCTCTTTGTTCCCTTCACCCTTTGTTTCAATATGGAAACCATTCAATCTTATATCTTTGAAACTTAACAAGCTCCTCTTCGAGCTGGGTGAATATAGGGCATCGCTTATTTCAAGATGCGTGCCCTTTGATAAAAGGATATGGGCTTGACCATGGCCCTCAATAAGACTAGCTATACCCGCTATGGTGCTAATATTGGCATTTTTCAATGTTAGATTTATAAAGTATCTTTTGTCTTTTAAAATTGTGTGGCTCGATCCACTATCCACCACAAGTATATTCTTGTCATCGGCCATTGACAAGAAATATGTCTTAGATAATAAAGTAAACGATTATATTAAAGGCAAATTAAACTTTAAATTTAAATCCAAGAAATAATAGAATTCAAAGACATAGAATAGAATTCAAAAAAACATAGAGCATGGAAACATAAAGTAAATTAAAGCATAAAGCAAATTAAAACACAAGATGTCGAATTTTAATTTTCCTCTCTTAAGCAATCCGAAGTCTCATATTCCAATTGGTCATCGTTCTCATGGTCAAAATCTCCATCACCATCGAGATGAGCCAAATTGGCTTCGGGATTCTTCTTTATCATTTCTTGATAAGCATCGATTAGATGTTTAGATGTCCTGCACGTCTTAGCCCAATGATTGTCCATTCCGCATCTATGGCAAACGGACTTGGCCTTGTGTTGCGGTTTGAAGATCCCGCGGCCACGACCTCGACCATTGTTCCCACGGCCTCTACCACCATGGTGGTTTCCTCGGCCGTAGGAGTTATGGTTGCTACGACCACCACCACGTCCTCTACCACGGCCACGACCGTGATACCCTCTATGGACGTAGTTGGTTTCTTTGGTCTCTCGAGGTTCTTTGGTTATTTCGGCCTTATGGGCTTTCGGCAACGGTGTGGATCATGGAGGTCTCATTGAGCTATTCATTAGTAATAGCTCATTATTCTTTTCAGCAAGGAGTAAGCAGGAGATCAAACTTGCATATGTTTTGAATCTCATTCCACGGTATTGTTGCTGAAGTACCACATTATTAGGGTGGAATGTTGAGTATGTTTTCTCAAGCAAGGTATCATCAGTCACCTTTTCACCACATAGCCTCAGGATTGAGACAATCTTAAAAAGCACGGAGTTATACTCCTCCACGGATTTGAAATCCTGGATCCTGAGGTTTTTCCAATCATATTGGGCTTTCGGTAAAAGTACCGTCTTTTGGTGATCGTATCGATTCTTCAACTCGACCCAAAGGTCGAGAGGATCCTCGATAGTAAGGTACTGATTCTTAAGGCTCTCTGCTAGGTGATGGCGTATAAACGCAATCGCCTTAAACTTCGACCTCTTCTCACACTCGTTGTTTTCCATAATGCACTCGGCGAGATCTTTGGATTCAAGGGCTATCTTAATGTCCAATGCCCATTGT